TAAATATTCTTATTAAAGTAAATTATAATAAAAATATCTATCTAATAATAAAAAATCGAATTTATAATATATATATAACTTTTATAAAAGTATTATTTATATTTATATTAGCGCGAGTTAATAGAAAGCGTAATATAAATTATATAAGAATTATATATAAAAGTATATATATAATAATAATAAAAGGGAATTAGTATATATTAATATAATCTCTTAATTATTTAATATCTCTTTTATTTATAAATAAAGATAGAAATAATAATAAAAAAAGCTATTAAGCTCTCTTAATTAAGTATATCTTTAAAATAAATATAAATATCTATTAATTATAGCGAAGAATATAGAAATAATAATAATTATAAGTATTTAATAGCTCGTAAGACTATAAGAGCGAAGAATTAATATTATTATTAATATATTAATATACTTCTTATACTATCTATAAAGTATTATAAAGTATTCTTTAAGATATTTATTATATATAAAATTAATTTAAATAATTATAATCTTACTTAATTATTATTTTAATTAATATATATATTATATTATTATAAATTATATTATTATAATAATATATAGCTTACTATTATAATATTATAATAAAAATAAATAAAAATAAAATAATAAATATAAAGAAGAATTAAATATTTATTTATAATAGTATTAATATTAATATTATTATTAAAAAGAATAAAAATTAAATTAGAAATAAGGCTTTTATACTTATTAGCGAGATATTTATAATTATAATAATAAAATTATTATAATTATTAAAGTAATAATAATAATAATAATATATAATAATAATAATAATAATAATATATTGTAATAGAATAGTAATATATCTATATTCTATTAATTAAGATAATAATATATAAAGCGATATTATCGCGATTTAATATATAAATATATTAATATACTTAAGAAAACCTTAAGATAAATAATTTAAATACGCTATTATAGTATATATTAATTTAGACTATATTTAAACTAGTAATAGATAATATATATAAATTTAATAAATTTATAGTATTTAATTATAAGATATAATAATAATAAGATTTAGAGATTATATCTTTTAAAAGAGAATATAATTATAAGAATAAAAGTACTCGAAGCGAATTAATAGACTCGCTTATATTACTTATTAAATTATAAGTTATATAATTAAAATAAGTATCTAATATATTTAATAAAGTCTTAAATACTTATAAGTTCTTTTTTCTCTTCTTTTTTTTTTAGTTATTAGTTTATCTAATAACTAATCTATTTATTCTATTAACTATATATCTAAATCTCGTAATTATATAGCTATTACGTAGTTCTATTAAAAGAGATCTTACTATCTTATAATAAGATAGTAATTTAAGATATATTAAACTATTAATAATAAAGTTATTTAATAATTAATATAAGAAAGCTATTAAATATAGAGAAAGAATCTCGATTAAATTTATTATCTCGACGTCGACGTTTATCGAATAAATCTTTACTCGTATATATTAATAATATAAAAGATATTAATTAATCTATATAATTTATAAATAGATATATACGATATTAAGTCTACGCTAATAGCTTTATAAGAGACTCTAAGATATCTCGTAATAATACGTCTAGTAAATATAAAATTATATATTTATTAAATAGAGACTATATATATAATAGCTATCTATTTTTTAAAATTAATTAAATAGATAATTAAGTTTTAAGTTTAGATATATTCTATTCTTCTATTAGATAAAGATCAAATTATTACTTAAAGAGGTAAAGTGTGAATGGTATTAGACCTCGCACTTCGGGAGAACTTCGGTGACGTATTAATATGCATCATGTTAAGCCAGATGTGCTTTCCCTTTCTCGTATGGTCTCTCTCTTACTATTGCCTATCTGATCGCAACTGATTTACACAATACTTCATGAGCATCGACGAAAAGCTCGCTTGAAGCACTGATTATTTCTACTATGGAGAAAACTCACATCAACCTCGTCATTCTGTCGCCATCACAAGAGGTCAATAAACTTACCTTCTCCGGCATATCTACAGCTACGAGCATCGGCGAATTGAGAGAAAGGATATCAGCTGAAGTTGCAACCCATCCTGCTCCGGCCCGGCAACGCTTGATATATCGTGGCCGTGCTCTGATTGATGTCGCAAAGACCCTGAAAGACGTCTTCACCCAAGAGATTGTTTGTCTCGTGCCATGTCACTCACTCCGCAAAGCTGACAATGCATAGATAGATAGCTCCGAAACACTCTCGCTCCACCTGGTCCTACCACCAGAAATGGCCACTCAGCTAGCACCTTCAGCGTCCACAGCACACCCAGGCCAAGGCCAGCAGGCTCTTCCAGCGCAACACGCACATGGCAGCTCAAGTAACTCCGGAACTCCACAGAACCCACATCAGGCTAATGAGAACGTACATGCATCACAAAGGCCAGCCGCTCAGGGTCATATTCCAACACCGTCACCGCCACACTACCACGTACATGCGCCTGGATATGGCCATAGCCATGGGAATGGGAATGGTGCTCTTCAAGCACAATTCCCTCCACAACTTCAACAGGCTTTTGCCCAATTTCATGCTGTGAACCAGCAACTTGCAGCTCAACTTGCGGCTATTGGAAACAACCCTATGCTTCAGGGAATGCCTCCCAATCAACCTCCAGCACAGCCGAATCAGCCACCAGCCTTTGCACAGCCTGCTTTTCAGCATGCCATGGCGCAACAACAGCAAGCGAGAGCAGCAGGCGTACAACATGGGATACAGGGCGGGCCCATGCAGAATGTACAGATCAACCCTTCCACTTCTTCTCCGCAGACTGTTTTATCAACACCGCAGAGCAACGACCAAGGTGCAGCTTCGGCACCCTCTACTACTCCTGGAAATACGAGTACAGTGGTCCGTGAAAACCATGGTCCAAATGGGGAGAGATGGCAGATGGTCATCCAGAGTGGACCGATGAACATACATGCTCACAACGGGTTTCCAAATCCTCATGCTGCATCTCCCAATTCTTTGCATACTGGTCCAAACACACCAAGACGTACGTCACCTGCACTGCAGCCTAGCCACTCATCACAGACTGCAGGCATCGGTGCAACAGCGGGAAGCCCTCCACCGCCGGCAGGGATCGGTCGAACTCCAACACCGAACGTTGCACTCATGCATCTCCAATCCAATCTCTCTACCATGGATGCTGCTATGGTTGGGGGCAATCCGTTGCCAGAGTCTGTGTTTGAACAGGCTCAAGAAATGATAAGGGGCATTACAGATCTACCGCAAGAAGTCGCAACCGCACTACGAACTCGTTTGGCCAACCTTTCTCATCATTCAAGCCATCTGCGGGAAAATCTACATAGTAACCTAATTCGAGCAGCTCACGAGCGAGCCACTTCGCAAAGAGCGGCTCAAGGAACCGAATCTTCTGCGGTGTATGTTCTCTCCTCACCTAGTGGACCACACGCCCTACTAGTCTCGCCATCTGGATTGTATACAGCCCCTTGGCAATTTCCTTCCCTTGGCGCCATCACTCCTCAATCTGTAATGCTCCCTACCACTACTGCCCCTGCGCAAACTCAACCAGCAAACAATAACATTCCCATCAACGAACAGCAGCCGCACATAGATGAGGTCCAGGTTGCGCAAGGACAACAACAAGGGCCACAACCTGCGGACGTCGCTCAAGTGGCACAAGCACAGCAGCAGCAACAGGTAAATCAAGCCAGAGATCTAGCCCGCATTCTTCTACCTCTTGGAGGCCACTTATGGTTATTGATCAGGCTCTTTGGGTTTGTGTATTTTTTCACTGCTGGGGCAGGATGGCGTCGAACCATGCTTCTTGGACTAATCGCTAGCCTGGTGTTCATTGCCCAGACCGGGATATTCAGGCCTATAATTCAAGGAATCTGGGATCCAATCAGAAGGCATGCAGAGGGTCTTGTTCCTCTCGCTGCTAATGAGCGTCCTCGTGCAGGCGTTGGTGGTGCTGAAAATAATGGCAATGGGACAGGCACGCAGCCTGGGAATCGTGAACCAACGCCTCAGGAAGCAGCCGAGCGCCTACTGCAAGAAAGAGAACGTCAAGATGTAAGCTTTGTTCGTCAGAGCTTCCGCAGGGTGGAACGAGCTGTTGCCTTGTTTGTAGCAAGCTTAGTACCCGGTGTTGGCGAGAGACACATTGCAGCCAGAGAAGCGGCAGAGGCGGCAAGGCAGGCTGAAGCCCGGGAGAGGGAAGAGCGTGCGAGGAAGGAGGAGGAGGAGGAGGCCCGAGAGCGACTGGAGGGAAATCTTGATTTTGGGGACGGAAATGTGGCTGACGGGGCAGGAGAGGGTGGCGAAAGCTCCAGTGCGCCAGAGCAACAACAGGCTGCTCAGCCGCCTTTGGTAGAGGTCTGAAAAGACTGCATTAAGTACTCATGGCAAATGTCGCTTCCCAAGATGGGTACTGAGGCTAACGTGACAATGCCTATCGATGAATATGCCTTGAGTCTTTACGTCTACCAAGTCGGGCGAAATGCTCAAGACAACTTCTTTTTTTTGGTTTGGAGCTCAAGGTTTTGTGGAATACAGATCCGAAGAAGCATCAGTAGGTGAGAGTATGCCTTTGCATATCATGGCCAAAGTTGCCCTTGAAACCCCTGATGCAAGTGGCAGTGACGTTCTGTAATCTGGGTGAATTTTGGTACTGCTTCTCTCCAAATGCGACTTTTTGGGGGAGAAGCCTTTCCCAAGGCTGGTGTTGTGGACATGTGTATAGGGGTCAAATTGTTGCTGCCTCCAGAAATGCTAAGCCCAACCGAAGTTGCGATTTCACGGGAAGAAAACCGGTGTTCATCTGCTTTCCTTGTTGACAACATCCACAATCAGCGATCTTGACTCGTCGCCAGACAGTCAGAGTCATGCATTTGCGTAGGCTTCGAGCTGGATGTCTGGAATTGCAAGATGCCGTGCATCGTGCGTGCCTATCGCTCTTCATCATAGTTGTCACTCTTGTCATGTACCGGCACTTCTGGCAAGGTAAGGTGCACTGCCAATGCGTTACACTTCGCCTTCACCCTGCTTACGTCCTCTACCCTAAAACTAATATGCTGTGTAGATGGCTATGACACCAACAAATGTGACGCACTACTGACTCATGGCCGATGGCTCGACGCCCTTGATCCATATCACTCAGTCACGGGATATCAAAATTGGCAGCCTGCAGGTTGCATGATGCATGAGTACAACGCCAGGGACGTGACTACATGTCTAAACTCTCGAAGGGTCGTGTTCATTGGCGACTCTGTCACAAGGCAGATATTTTGGGCTTTCGCCAGTAAGCTCAACGTCCGAGAATCAGGAGACAAGCACTCGAGTATCTCTGTGGATGCACACGGCCTCAAGATCGAATTCGTCTGGGATCCGTACCTTAACACATCAAGTCTCTACCGAGAAATTGCAGCGGCATCGCGGTCTGGATCCAGGGATTCCCAGGTTGATACAGCAGCAATTCTCCTAATGGGGGGAGGGTTGTGGAATGCGCGATATCTTGACGAAGCTTCCTACCAGCGCTTCAAGAGTTCCATTGGTGAAATAACGCGTGTTCTGCAGAATGTAAGAAGACCCAGAATGCCATTGGGCAAGTCTGGTCAAAGCTCTGAAGGCGTGGATGACCTCGCTGTTATTGCCCCAATTCAGGTACCACATTATGATGCGCTGTCCCCAGAGCGGGCCAGGACCATCACGCCCGCTAGAGTCAAGCCCATATTCCAACATTTGCAGCATTTATCGGTCCGACAAAATATTACAGTCGCATGGAGTTTTGCCCACATGACTTGGCACGAACCTTCGGCGTACAATGAAGATGGCTTGCATATCAACGGAGCTGTTGCTGGTGAAATGGCTGACGTACTGCTTAACGCGAGATGCAATGCTGTACTACGCCAATCCAATGCCAAAGGATATCCAATGGACAAGACTTGTTGCAACAGATATCAGAGGCCGAACTGGACCCAGTCCGTAATTCTGATCCTTTCTTTGGGCGTGCTGCCCGCATTCATCCTTATCACGTTCAAAGGTGAGAACCTCATGTCAATCGGATGTGCTGCCAGCTGATCGATCGCAGACGCCAAAAGGTTCAATTCCCTTCCTTCTCGCAAAGTCACACGGGCTATCACGGTCCTAGCATTAGCTATCTGCTATTGCTACTATGCCGATCGCACACAGCTGTTCAATAAGGCTCAGAAACAGTACTCATTCACAGAATTCATGTGGCTTTGCATTGCCACCCTCGTACTGGGAGCTCTCTCTATACGTCGATCCGCGCCTGCACCACTGCACAAGAATTCTGGCTGCTCAATTCAGAAAGTACAAGATCAGCCGTTTCTCTCAAGATATCAGACAGATGAGTGGAAAGGGTGGATGCAATTCATCATCTTGATTTACCACTACACAGGAGCATCGAGAACATTATGGATCTACGAAACCGTCAGGCTTCTAGTCGCTTCGTACATCTTCATGACAGGTTTCGGGCACACTGTCTTCTTCTACAAAAGATCCAATTACTCTTTTCGGCGCTCTGCTGCAGTCCTCATCCGACTCAACATGCTGAGCTGCCTTCTTCCGTACGTGATGAAGACAGACTATCTTTTCTATTATTTCGCCCCACTGATCAGCTTCTGGTATCTGGTAATCTATCTTACCATGGCAGTGGGCCACTCAAGGAACCGTTCTCGTGCGTTTCTGATAGCCAAGATAACGATCTCTGCGATTTTGACAACAGCTTTGATCAGAGTTCCCGGTATATTCGAAACTCTCTTTCGAGGCCTGGAGAAAATTTTCAACATACACTGGAATGTCACGGAATGGCGCTTTCGACTTCAACTCGACAGCTTCATCGTATATACGGGCATGCTTTGCGGCATATGTTTTGTGAATCTAATGGATGCCGTGAACGTAGAAACGCCGGAAGACAGCGCCCTTGACCGCCTCGTTCGCCAAAGCTCCTGGCTTTTTCGCTTTGTATGGCTAGCCATGGCTGCCGTTACACCACCTATTGTCTACCTTTTCGCTCGTCGTGCTTCTGACAAGTACGCATACAATGCGTGGGTGCCGTACATCTCCACAGCACCTATCCTCGCATATGTCATTTTCCGCAACATCAGCCGTTACACACGCAATTTCCATTCCTCGACATTCGCGTGGATGGGTCGGCACTCCCTCGAGACTTTCACCCTGCAATTCCACATTTGGCTGGCGGCAGACACCAAGGGGCTCTTGGCCCTGGGAGTTTTCGAAGGGATCGTAGGAGGTGGAAGGGGCGGGAGGAGGGTAGATTTGGCGGTCCTAACGACTATCTTCCTCTGGGTATGCTGGCACGTCGCGGCTGCCACCCAAACTCTGACCAATTGGATCATTGATCCAAGTGATGGAATGCAACATGTAGAGCTAGAAGATGGTGTCACTGGCGTGGAAGAGGGATTGCCAATAATGAAGAGTAAAGAGGATGCGCGAGGTGTCTTTCAGACTGGCCGCGCTGCAGATGGTGTTGGGATTGGGGTGATAAGGTCAGCACGCAAAATCAAGAGGCATGTCGCTGAAAGCCTAGGGGTAAGGATTGGGATCATTCTGGGAGTCATGTGGCTGCTCAATATGGTGGGTACAGAAATCATGAGGCCCCCGTCCTGATATCTGGCAGATTTCTGATACACAGTGAGCAGACTTGTTACTGAACATTTGCTACGAGAGCCTTGGTTGCTTGTAGCTTAGCGAACTACATCCGCGCGACTTACAGAGGGTGTTTAGCCAGAACCAATTCCTAAAGTTTCGGATTTGATACCCCTTTCCTGTCCCCAAAGTCATTGTCTTTAGCTCCATGCTCGCTATCTACCAGTGCATCAGGGTCATCGAACATTTCATCACCGTGGAAATGCCTGCTGAACAATCAGTTCTCCATTTCAAAACGTCTGAGCATCTTTGAATCCCCTACACCCCATCAGGTCAATGATATCGAGAATCTATGGGAGAACTTACCATCCTTTCTCTTCTCCGCCTTCCAAATGTTCACAATTACTATTCACCGCACAACCCCATCCCCCAGCCACGCCTTCAGCTCTCCAATTCGTCTTTGGCACCTCCATCCCCGCTTCCCATTTCTCCAATTTCTCATAGCCCCCATCCAGGGGTATATTCTTGCGTACAAACTTCGAGATACCGCATCTTCAAAATTTCGGAGTCAGTATTTCTTCTTTGAGATGCAAAGGTTGTCACAAGACAAGGCTGGGTGAGTATGATATAATTGAAAATCGTCTCGGAAACTTTTCACGGAAACTAGTCTGGGACAAATTGGGGCAGGCATTAGGAGGTTGTCGCTCCGAAATGTAAACGTACGTGTAGGTCTTGAAGTCTTCCACGCATACATCATCGGGCATATGGCCCGTCAAAGTACGGCCAATGGCTATCATGGAGGCCGCGTGAGTGCAGATAAGAATGGATGTCTCGTTTTCATGCCCTTCTGAGGAAGCAGCGTCTTCGATATCTGCATTGGAGATGATGTAGGTCAGAGCATACGCGCAGCGATCATGGAGGATAGGTATGCTTTCGCCGGATGAAGCGGGTATTATGCTGGGTTTGTACTCGGAATTGTATGATTGGAAGAAGGTTCGTAGGAGTGACGGGGAGGCGGGCGAGGGGTGGGTGAATCGCGCTAGGCCGTACCATTCACTGCCAATCCGAAGTCAGCCAATGCGCATTCGGTGAAGAATAGGAGACAGAGAGTCCTACCCTATGCCATTATCACCCCTCACCTCCAGCCCGCTCTTCTCAACAAACGGTTGTAACGTTTGCATACACCTATAGAATGGGCTACTGTATACACGGGTAATTGGAGGATCTCTGATGGCTGAGAGAGCAGTCGCTAGCTGTTCGGCTTGACGTGCGCCATAAGCAGCCAGGGGTGGGTCCGAGGGGATCTAAGCACTCCCAATTCAGCGTCTCTTGTCCCAAACATGGCCCGACCAAGGGAATAAAACAGGTCCTGGGCGTATGTACATTGGTGGGACTTGGAACGGTGTTATAATATTTCCCGGTTTTAGGGTCTACTGTCCAATTACCACGGAACTATATTGACGGCATTAGCATCGTGTAGAGGGTACAGCGGAAGGGACTTTACTCCATGTCTGGTCACATAGATGGTAGTGACTACCATGGTTCTCGATCCATCCTCTTTATTTTGTATATGCTCGGGCGTATTAATGTCAGGATATACTCATACGGTATACGAGTACTCTAGCGTAAAGCTCCTCCCCCTCCTCGGCTATGCGGAGTTTTCCAAAGTCGCCTATTCTTTCCTCGTGCCCGCGTTGCGCGCGGCTGACTTTGGAAATGCCACCCTGGCCGAAAGCGCTTTCCCGTCCATTGAGTATCGACTTCAATGCTATGCTCGCATGAGCACCACCTGTCCTTTCTGAATATTGAATTCTTCGCCTTTTGTCATTGAGCTTTGGAAAGATTCGGGGCTGCTCTGCGATTTCATTCTGCTTCCTTTCCTTGGTCCTGCGTCTCTCTTCTTATTCTCGCAACATGCCTCCTCGTGGTCGACGGCGACTCTCAAACCTTGCAATGTTTCTCTCACTACTCTTCCTCTTCACCTCTACAGCTTCTGCAGCTTCGGCTGTTCTGGGCATAGATATAGGGACCGAATACATCAAAGCCGCCCTAGTCAAGCCGGGGATCCCCCTTGAGATTGTTCTGACGAAGGATTCGAAAAGAAAGGAGACCGCAGCTGTTGCTTTCAAGCCCCTGAGAACCAGGGTATCTACGGCCGAACCTGACGCGTTCCCAGAACGGATATACGGCGGTGATGCCGTGGCTCTTTCCGCTAGATTTCCCAGCGACGTCTTTCCAAATCTTAAGCCACTCCTGGGCTTGAAAACCAGCGACGACCTTATCTCGGAATATGGCGGGACCTTTCCAGGATTGGAAATTGTCGAGTGGGCCGAGACAGGTACTGTGGGATTCAAGAGCGACTCGTTTGTCAAGGAGGAGGAACCTTGGCTAGTCGAGGAACTCCTAGCGATGGAGCTGAAGAACATCAAGGGCAACGCTGAGACCATGGCCGGTAAAGGGTCAGCAATACAGGATGTTGTGATCACTGTTCCCTCGTTTTATACAGTGGAAGAGCGAAAGGCAGTCATCTTGGCAGCAGATCTTGCAGGTTTACGGGTACTGTCGTTAATCAGCGATGGTCTTTCTGTTGGCCTGAATTACGCGACCTCAAGAACCTTCCCAACGGTCAACGAAGGTGGCAAGCCCGAAATACACTTGGTATATGATATGGGTGCGGGTTCTACAACTGCCACCGTCCTCAGATTCCAAGGAAGGACTGTGAAGGACGTTGGCAAATACAATAAAACGATACAAGAAGTCCAGGTACTCGGCACAAGCTGGGACAAGACTTTGGGTGGAGATGCGCTCAACCGCGTCATCTTGGAGGATATGATCAACAAAATTACATCTACGGCCCATATGAAGAATTTGGAGGTACTGCCGAAGCACGTGAGAGCCCATGGCCGGACAATGGCGAAACTGTGGAAAGAAGCGGAGAGGGTCCGACAAGTATTGAGTGCAAACACTGAGATATCCACAAGTCTTGAGTCGTTGTATGATGAAGACTTTAACTTCAAGTATAAGCTGTCTCGCGCCGATTTCGACCAACTTGCTTCTGCATATCCAGAGCGAGTTCAGAAGCCTATTACAGAAGCTCTGGGAATTGCAAAATTATCCCTTGCCGACTTAGAATCCGTCATCCTGCACGGAGGCGCTGTTCGGACACCCTTCGTCCAGAAGCAATTGGAAGCGGTCATTGAAGATTCTAACAAGATTAGAACAAACGTGAACGCAGATGAGGCTGCAGTTTTTGGAGCAGCATTCAAGGCTGCGGCCATCAGTCCTAGCTTCCGAGTGAAAGAGATCAGAGCTTCAGACAGCGCAGTGTACCCTATTTCCGCCTCTTGGTCGATAGATGGAAAGGAAAAGCAGCAAAAGCTTTTCGTACCGACGTCGCAAGTTGGCTCTGAGAAACAAGTCTCAGTCAAGGCCACGGCAGACTTCTCCTTTACTCTGTCTCAGCAGGCCTCATCTGACTCTTCTGATCTTCAAATTTCAGTTATCAAGACCGGGAATTTGACAGACTCTGTCAAACAACTGACCAATAAGTTTAGTTGTTCACTGAGTGACGTCAGCACCAAGTTCGCGATCCGATTGAGTCCTGTTGATGGACTCCCCGAAGTCATCAGTGGATCCGTCAGCTGCGAGGTTACAGAGACAGAGACCAAGAAAGGAGGAGTGGTCGATGGCATGAAGGACTTTCTGGGTTTCGGGTCAAGGAAGGGGGACCAGGAGCCGCTTAAAGAAGACGATAATGCCGAATCCTCAACATCAACGTTAGAGCCCGAGACGTCTACCGCTTTGTCGCCTACAAAGACTGACACGGCTGGCTTTGTAGTGGACGAAAGTGTTAAAGAAGAAAAGCCCAGAGAGTTGAAGAAGAAGACGCAGACAATCGCCGTTGGTTTCTCAACCGAGTCAATTGAATCACAAGGAGTCCAGCCCGACAGTCAGAAGCGTATGAAAGCTCGGCTGTTTGCCTTCGATAAATCAGACCGCTCTCGCGTGTTGCGCGAGGAAACCCTGAACAATCTTGAGGGGTACACCTACAAGATCAGAGATATTCTAGAGGACGAGGGTTTCGTTGCTGCGTCGACGGAAGAGCAGAGGGATGGAATTGAAGAAAAATCAAATGATGCGAGCATATGGCTGTATGGTGATGGCGCGGACGCTAACCGAGAATCGCTAAAAGCAAGGTTGGACGACCTCCGTGGGCTTGTTGCTCCCATTCAAAAACGGAAAGACGAGGCAAACAAACGCCCATCAGAAATCCAGAGACTGAAGGATGCACTGGCGCAAGCAAATACCATGGTCACTGTGGTCAAGCAGCAAAGAGAAGCCCAGGTCCTGGCGGAATCTAAGGCCGCTTCAAACGCGGATGAGGCAAAATCGCAGACCACTACGGCGCCCAGCACGTCTACTGATGACTTCGCGGACCTAGACGACGAGACTGCCACGGCCTCATCCTCCATCCTGTCGGCAGCTCCTCATCTTCCTGCGTCGATGTACAGCGAAGAGGACATTAATGCTATTCTCCAGACAGAGGATAATGTCAAGAGGTGGCTTGATGAGAAGCTGGCCGAGCAGGAAAAGCTCTCGCCAACAGATGACCCTGTCTTACTGTCGTCAGAGCTATCTGCAAAGTCGAAAGAACTCAACGACGTGGTAATGAGTCTTTTGACCAAACAAATGAAAACCCCGCCAAAGCCGAAGAAATCGAAGTCCAAGTCAAAGACTACGAAGACCAGCTCTACGAAGGCGACCGATACAGACACTAGCGCTGTGGAGTCTGGAGCAGCTGCCAAGGAGACGACAGGACCGGCGGGTGAACTGGATGATGAAATGGAAGGCTTGCATCAGGCGACGCCGGAGGAGATCGAAGAGGCTATGGCAGAACAGAAGTCTAACGCAGAGAGGAAGACGAAAAAGAAAGAGAAGGCCAAAGCCAGTGGGAAGGGTAAGGGGAAAGGGAAGTCAAAGGGCAATGATAGGGGGAAGGTGGAAGAGCATGGAGAACTGTAATATAGTAGATGTCTTGCAGAATTCGAGTGTCACTTGTAGCAATAGATTACCTTTAGATCAGCGACCTACAACTTGATGAATCTTACTGCTCGAGAGAAGGGATGCTTCGCCCGCTTTGTAGGGCTTCGCATCTTTGGTGAATAGCCATGAGGCAAAGGTGACAGACGACGTAAGGCGCAAGGGATATGAAAAGAGAGGTCTTTCATGCCCCGACTATCAAGCTTGCTAATCTATGTTCCTCCGTGCACGTCTCCATTTGCATGCATCGGCTGCAGCGAGCTCTAGCGATGCCTCCTTTAAGGCAACATCGCGAGCACCGGCCGCCGTCACAATGTTGCCCTGTGTCCTCCGCCTGCGCACATGACCATCTAGATTCGAAGGTCTAAGGTTCTGTTGGACCATTCCAGCACCTGGTCCCCTGCCCCGCCGAGCTGCGAGTCGAGGTGCTTTCATTTGCTGCAAGTCGTACCTCTTTGCCCTTCGCCTCTGGTCGGAAGTCTCGATTGCAAAGTTGCTTATCACGAACCGCAGTGGGAAAATTCTGCCCGTCCCTTTCGAAAATGTGCATACTTCGCCCGTCGCTTGACTGCTCGTAACATCACTTTTGAAACGTGCACCTCTTTCTTAAGCAGCTATCACTCAAGATAATCCAATCTCACAAAGTAATCCATCATTTTTGAACACAAACCGTCGTCCTCCTCCTCATTACCATCTCCACCAAAGATCCTCTTCCGCTCTTCCATCAGTCTCTCGCACTCATCTTTATGCTTTCTTTCCCTGGCTTGCCATGCAAGATATCTATTATGCCAGTGTTTTGCGGAAAGATCGTTTCGCCGAGGATGTCTTACAGCTGGGGCCTTGGGATCCGACGGATCGGCAGAAGAGGGCAGCTCGAAACCGTCGTACTGGCAAGAAGCAGAGGCCTTGTGCTCGCCCCTCGTGCGACGACGATTGTGACGGCTCATTATGTTTCGGAGCGAAGAAGAGAAAGTATGTTCGACGTGCGAGTAAGAAGTAGAATATGGGCTTGATGAAGGATACAGCGAAATTAAGGAAAGTGGAAGTTTGAGCACGTATACACATAAATTTTGTAGTGGTCAAAGGCAGTCGTCATGAGTCTTAAACGAAATCACTGGTTGAGTCATGATGAGATGTGATGGCTGCGACATGGCCTGGCAAAAACTGAGTGGCGAACTCAAACCATGGTGTGACTCATACGAAAACCGTCCACATCCAAACAGCACTGGAAAAAATCATGGACCTCGTTCTATGCACATCTTGTTCCAATTCATCGTTGTCTTCGCGAGTCGTCGTCTTTGGAAGAGGGACTTCGAAGAGTCATAAATAATGCGCACGGCGGAATCTCGTACAACAGGTAATCGTCCAAGCGTCTTTCCATTCGTCTCGTAGATTATCTCACAAAACTTCGTTTACGCCGTACCTCATAGTTCTTCGTCGTCATCTTCATCATCAGCGCGTCTATTTACCGAACCATGGATTACGAAACTCTTCTCTGCTTCCACGCCATGCATCATTTCGAAGCTCTCTTCGCTCGTCTGCGGACTTAGACTCTTTCCGGCTATGTGACCAATCCAATCGACTCCACCGGCCTTTGCAGGCTTGGTGCTAGTGATCCTCTCTTCCAGCGGCAAACTCGAACCTCCTTCTTGCGGAATTAAAAGTCGCCGATGCCAGTCACCAACAAACATGCCATCAGGGTCTACTTCATTTCTTACCCGTATCCAATCATCCATTTCAGGATACATTCTATACACGTCCTCCCTCGTAACGTGAGCGAAATTCTTAGCCCAGTGTGGTCGGCCGCCCATCTCCTTCATAAGCCACTCGAAAGCCTCGTAGTAGCGAGCTCGGCAGGGAGGATCGCAATTATATGGCCTGTAAAGCGTCGCATTCAAGTAAAGCGTTGGTCCATCAGGCATAGTATTATCCAGGTATGGACGCGGTACAGTAGTCGAAGTATCAGAAACCCGCACCTCAATCGGAGCGTGGATGTAAACTCCTTTCGAACTGAAAGGTATATCAGACGCTGCCTCATTCCCGTTGAGCCACGATGACAGACGTGTGATTGCTTCAGGACCCTTTCGAAGAGGAATCGCCCACTCATTGACAAATTGTGAGTAAAGACAATTCATGAGGAGGCCGGTCCGCCCTTCTTCGACAGCAGCACTGCCAGCCCCATGTTTGAATCCGTACTGGACATTGATCACAAACCTTTCGAGCAGGGGCAGCAAGCTGGGAGTCCACTGTGCGCAGTAGAGCAATAAGTGGTACGTATGAAATCCAATCTTTCCGGTCCACCAATTCGCCACTGGTGGATGGTGAGGTTTGTCCGTCTTGTCCGCCCTCCATCTGATACATTGTTTCATGTATGGCATCCACCAAACGCGGGTAAATTCTTTCTTTGTCCACAGATCTTTCTCCCAATCCGAGATTATCTCGTCTAATGGGTGAAGACTTTGAGCCCATTCGATGTTGAAGGCAGGAACGGCCTCAAAGGTGACCTCGGTGATAACGCCCAGTGCACCCAGACTCACGGAAGCAGCGCGAAAAAGCTCCGCGTTCTGTTCTGCTGAGCAAGACACTGTCCGGCCATTTGCAAGCATTATCTTTAGCGCTAGAACAGACTGTGATAGGATACCATGCCTTGTCGAGCTTCCGTGTGTCGCTGTTCCAATTGCACCGGCTATTGATTGGTGGTCAATACTACCCAGGTTCGGCATTGCCAAACCATGCTCTTTCAGCTTTATGCCCAGATCATGTAGCCGTATACCTGCCTGCATGACGACTACATTTGTATCCCTGTTGATGTCCAGTATGTCTTGAAAGCAGTCTAGATTGACCAGCCATGAGGAAGTACAGGTTAGATCCGACGGGGAATGTGCGCAGCCTGCGACGGTTATTCGACGTCGGCATCTTCGGGCAAGTGTAATGATTTTTTGCAGTTCTTCTGATGTCTGAGGCTGGATGTAGAGCTCCGGATGTGAATGAAAAGTCCTTGCCCAAGTGTGATGGTGGTGAGTGCTGATGGCTCGAAATGGAACGGTGGGATACAGTCTCGACACTTCTCGTTGAAGGTCCATAACAGGAAGACCTGCTTCAAAGTCCAGTGGGCATGTATGAGGAAGCACAAGAACGAACAATATCACCGCAAGAATGACTCTCTATCGAAGTTGCATAGGCTCGACAATTTATACATGCTCGTGGGAATGCAACAAGTGAGACGGGGGATGATTGCACGATCACCAAATCAACAGGTCATAAGGAGTGTTTTGACGTATCAGACAGATGCCCTAGAACTAGGCGAAATCCGGACCTCCCGACAGGAATCCCTGAGTCCATTATCTATCTTACGTGCACAAAGGCACAGGGCATGTTACCAGTGTTGACAAACACACATTACACTCAGACTCGTGGAAAATTTGATCTAAGAAGTATTATGAAGATGACATCCCTCTGTAGCTGTGCTGTGCTGCTTTGTGGCCAGAGTCAATCTCCGTCTGCTAATAAATACTTCAAGGCAATTCAAATCATCATCACCACCCACTAATTTTCAAATGAGGAAGTTCTTTTCCAAAATGGCAGGAAGCCTCTACGAACCCTCTCACCACGTTGGTCTTCCTCCTGCTTATTCCCAGTTTTCCAAAATCTCACTTTCCCACGATTTTGCTAACCCTCAACCTTCTCCTGCTGTCAGCTCTCCGCAATCTCTGCCTCAGGAGTCTGCTCTCCCTTGTATGCTCCCTTTCCGACTGATTCTTGCCGCCCTTTTACCCGACACCTGAGCTGTGAGCCGTCAGACGTGTTGCGGAAGCGAAAAGTCAATAAAAATTGCTGCACGAACCCTCTCTCCCTCGCCAGGCCTGTCTTGTAATTCGATGCCCGTCTTCAGACAGAAGTGTTTAATCCGAGATGATATAGTCAGACACTTACTGGGCAGGAGAGCACCCTTTTCACGGCGCTGGTGCTCCTGTGAGGGTAAAGGAGTAGAGGGTCTTGTGGCAGTGTGTGGTCAGTGGACTAAAGCAGCACGTAGGTTATGGAGTCGTCATTGAGGCATTGGAAGCATGAATCAAAGAGCCGGCGTAAAATGCTCCATGCCTCCTGACTGCTAAGAAGCGAAAGAAGTACTGAGAAGCAAGCAAGCAGGCAATCGAACACCCATGATGTATGTAAAATTTGCATCTGACCCTGCTCAATTTGCCTCAGCAAAAGCCGTAACCATTCTTAAACTTTGGATGTCGTCTCCTCGTCTGTTCGCTCTTCCTTTTGGCGAACACTACGTCCTGGTGACCCGTGAGAGGCAAGTAAGATATCTTTATGGATAAATAGCCTTCGCACACCAGCAAGACTGCAAAAACCAACACGTCTTATCATTCGTCGATCTGTCCGTAAATACAAAAACTTCAGCTTGACTCCTGAGCGCCAAAGGCAAGCTGGAGCCCAGCACTGGTTGAGTGAAGTTTTGTGCCCTACGAAGACTCTGGTGAGGGTATTGTATACTATATTTCCAAGCGTCAAGAACAGGGGCAACGGAAAAATCCTTCTTGAGCGGCCAGCGAGTTAGGATCGCCGCACGGCATCCATGCTAAACGGGCATCCATTTCCATGGTGACATTCCGCTCCATCTCGAATGATGTCCAGCATCTCTTTACCTTTTGGCGTCAATGTCAGATTCTCATACCCGTGTTTGGTTATCAGTATATCGTCTTCTATTCTGACTCCTCCAACATGCATGTACCGTTCCAGTACCTCTTCGTCGATGAACTTCGAAACTTCTGGGTTGGGTAGGTATACTGTTTCCAGGGCGTAACGAGAGAAAGCTGCAGTTCCAGATCAGCTTCTCGCTGTTACTCGGCCATCTTCAAACATACAGATTCCTGGCTCTACTGTGATGACCGTTCCTGGTTGCCAGGGTGCTGCATCTGACGTGCATGGAGCCATAAACTCATTCGTGAGCCTCAATGGGCTCTTCTCACTGAATTCAATCATTGATTGTTCCTCGCCTCCGCAGAAACTCAAGATCGGTTTTGCGCTGACATCGTGAACATCAAGGCCCATGTGGTGGCCTAATCCATGTGGGAAGAAAGCCTTGCTCACAGCAGACCTCAATAATTTCTCGATATTGCCTTTTCTTAGTATCCCTAGCCGCATGAGACCTTCTATCGCTATCCTATCAGCAAGGTAAAATGCATCCAGGTATCGAACTCCAGGCCCCAGCATCGCAATGCATCTTTCTTGCATCTCCTCCACAATAGCATAGGTCTCAGCGACCTCCTTGCTCGGCCATCCATTGCCGCAAGCGGGAATGTGCGACTGGGCAAAGACCTCGGGATCAGCATTGTCTGTTCAAGAGAGAAAATCAAGCCTGGAATACGTCTTGAAGCTGACATATCAACTTGACAAAAACAAAGAGGCAAAACCTAGACTCGGATCCTACGTACGTTATATCACTCGAATAAAATTTCCATTCACATCCTGCATCGAGACATAACAGACCCTTGCCTTTGAGACTTCCATTATTGTCCGTATAGTGCAGGATGGAAGCATTTGCTCCTGAGGCAACGATGGGCGGATATGCTTGCCAATCTGCACCATGAGCTATACAAACGTCCAGGTCAAGAGCTGGTTATAATTTCGAAGTCAGTATTGCGTATTCGAGGGGTTGCATTGAGCCTCGGAACGTGTCTACAGAGTGAAAACCCCCAAGACATGTCTCGGGACTCAAGACTTGGTCCAGAGGAAAGATGGACTCCGAAAACATGTACCATGAACTTCTGCCTCAGATTCCATGGACGTAATATGGTGCACGACCGTACGATGAGCTAGTGAAGACACTTTGATTGCTCTACGTATGAGATCAATCTCGTCGTCACCTTTGATCACACGAGAAGCATCGAGAGCAAGCAGTAATGAATGCGTGTCATAGTTTGGCTTCAAGAAGTCTGGGAGGAGCCCTTTCATATTCTGGCTTTCACGAAGCACATAGACTTTCTTCTGGTGATGTGCGACAAGCCAATGCTCGATATCAGTAGGCATAGAAGTGGTGAATTTTGAAGGCATCGAAGTCATATCTGGTTCGGACGCCATTAAGCGCCGGGAGAAACGAGGGAAACACTTGACCAACCTGTCTTCGGCTTCCTCTAAAGTGGAACCTCTGCCAAACCAGATGACACCTTGAGCGGTTATTGGGGCGATATATAAGGTCGAAAGACCTTGCTCGATATCATATGTCATGTAGCAATCAGGTTCATTGACCCCACTCAAATAATGGAAATACCTTGTTCTTGGCAACAAAACATTCTGGCAGTAAAGGCAAAATTCATGAACGTCCTCCCTCACCGTCTTTGTCGAAAGGGATAAGTCATGTCGCTCTCTTCGATGTAAAGCTTACGTTGGGCTGAAGATACATGGCTGAATGAGTGCCCTGTTTCGAATCGCTCTGAAAATGGAATATCTACCTTGGAGGTATATTAGAGTATCGCAGATTCGGAGTCAGCCTTGCTCCATCAGAACACGGATCTGAGATAATGAAATAACTCGTTGGGGTAGTAGTGAAGACGAAAGACAATTCCTACTTTCAGGAAGGAATAGAGATCAGACGAAATAAGAATAAAATAACCCGTACGCCTCTGAGACTTGCAAGTGATGAACGGCATTCTGAGCATGAAGTTTGGCTTCGTCCACGTCAATATCTCCCTGCTGTCAGCTCGACCGTGGACGACTTGCCTGGATATTTTGCTATCCCTCCACCCGAAACATTGATTTCGAAGCCCCTCTGCGCCATTCTTTCATCAAAGTATGGCTTACGATGTTTGCTATCGAACGGACTCGTGAGATTATTCAGAAGCTTTGAGGTCGAGGCGGTACTAGTACTGTGTTTTGAGGGAAATCATGTAACATGATTGGCCCAGGATAATGAGCGAACGTGTTCTTCAGAGCTCTGTAATCGTACTACTCCATAATTCGAGTCCAATCTAGCCGCGGTGCCGCCGTCGCCTCTACGGTCGACCACAGACGCAAAATCCCCACCTCCGCAGCACACGACTTTCAGCACATCCACCGCATACCTCATAAACATCAAAAGCATTTTTCTAACAAGCAAAAGCACCTCTTGCCGCACTCTTCCTCATGGTCCAATAGCATGGGCTAGGAATGATGGAAGAAGATATTGCACTCTCCCCTACCACTGTTTCAACGTCATCCTTCCACACTACTCCGTCACCTACAGACCATACGTCTTCGTGGCGGGAATCGTCTCATGACACCACCAAAATCCTGACTAATGTCAATAGCAACGATGGCTCGACAGGCAAGGGCATCCTCATTGGCATGCTCTCCGCTTTCGGCTCAGCCGCCTTCGTCGTCCTCGTCTTCGCCATCTTTTACTTCTTTAGATACACCAGTCGAGGACGCATCTTCTTAGATCGCATAGGAAGACCGGGCGAGTATGACGATGAGCAGGCGCTGGCAAGAGAGGAGGCCGATGCTTTAGAGGACATGGATGATCTGCAACGAGTGGAGTATCTCAGAGCAAAAGGTACGCTGTGGACCTTCTTGCCATATGAGTCTCCATCATCCCTTCCTGATGCCCTTGATATAGCATTCATCCAAGCCAATCCGCCCGAGACTTTGCCTACGGACATTTCACTTTCACAGTACCTTGCAATCCAGGAGAAGGGCGTGTCCGCATGGGAATTTGAGCCCGAGCTCGAGATTGCGAACTGCTTTGTCGAGGGCCGAACGGAGATCGAGTTTTTTGATTCTGAATGTAGTGTCCAAAGCAATCTGCCCATACCGAAACAGAACGAGGTTTACTATTGGGAAGCCAAAGTGTATGATAAGCCCGATTCTTCTTTGATCAGTATCGGTGTATCGACAAAACCATATCCCCTCTTCAGACTACCGGGTATGTCTGTCTGGGTCTAGTTGATCCAAAACATTGCACTAATTCTATTCAGGCTGGCACAAATCCTCAATAGCCTACACCTCGACCGGCCAACGGCGCTACAACCAACCATTTACGCCAACCAGTTATGGTCCTGAGTACGTACAAGGCGATGTCATAGGTGTCGGCTATCGACCACGAACCGGAAGCGTCTTTTTCACACGGAACGGCAAGAAGCTAGACGATGTAGCTCATGGCTTGAAGACACAGAATTTTTTCCCAACAGTGGGCGCAAATGGTCCCTGCACCGTGCATGTCAATTTTGGTCAAAGCGGGTTCGTTTTTATTGAAGCGAATGTCAAGAAATGGGGCCTGGCTCCAATGACCGGTAGTCTTGCGCCGCCGCCACCGTACGGCAGCGAGCAAGGCAGTATACTGCTGGAAGCTGGAAGAGACGGCACGAGACAGAGCCAGCCAACTTACGGGCATGCAAGATCGCGGAGCGGGAATATAAGAACTGCTCCGCCAATGAGTCCCGGTCCACAACGGTCACCAACGGAGATTTCCCTCGCGCAATTGGCCCATATACCGTCGAACGAGGATGTGGGTGAGGGCACTAGTAGGAGTGCGGAACGAGCAGACGGAGTGTTGGACCAGCAAGTAACTGCCCATGATCCGCAAGATTTCTCGGCGCCGCCACCCGAGTACACAAGTCCGGAGGAGTCTCATGAGAACAGCCGAAGAAGCAGCGAAGGCAGCGATGACGATGGTGAGGAAAGACCTCTCATGCGGCCTGACTCACCAAGGCCACCTATACCTAGCTATGATGCGGCCGTGGCAGATGATCCCCGGTCGAGACATGAATACGATACCCAGCATAGTGCATAACGATGATTTTACGCGATCCCCTCCATTTACTTTGTGAATATAAGAAATATGCCTTCGTTGAAGCAGCATTGGGAGGATATTTTTGGCATGGAATCATTAGGCGGGCGTTGTGGGTTGTGGTCGTCAACAGCAAATGGAGAGCAGCGCGAAGGATGGGATACTTTTGAAATGGCATGGGAAAGCCCATTCTTCAGCCATGCGCACAGAGTCTAAATGTACGATACTACTATATTATGAATGACTTGCCATCGAACATCCATCGAACCTTGAATCCGCTCAGTATGGATGATTGCAGAAACTAGGAAATGGATTTAAGATGATGATCTAGCTAAGGAGGGAATCTAGTCTAGTAAATATCTTACAGTGTTGCCCTGGGAATGTGGCTTAGAATAGATACGCAATATAATCACGGATGAAGTGTATGGAACGATTGTATAAACATAATAGAGAAAGAAGCGTATGGAAGTGTGTAGTTTTATCTATCTAGCAATGATGGGTAATAGACGTGAGACATGGTACTACTCCCAAGTTTTCTTCAATTGTCTATGCACGACCTAGCTGGTGATTGTAGAAACGTATGGCAGATATGTTATAATTCCTCGAACGCTCGTTAGTAAGGCTCCAATTTCATAGGTATGCCTTTCTATACAAGTAGCCCCGATGCCCAGAGATGGGCTGGATATTCCAAGTCAAAAAGCTACGAATGGACATGGGAATGTATCAAAGCCAAATCGAAGCACCTGCCTTGGAGATGGAAAAGTTGCATCCCAGCTGCTCTGCTTTCTCTGCTTGCTCTAGCTGTACCAGAATCGTCTCACCCGGCTCCGGACCATCTTTCAAGGTTTCCTTTACGTGTATGATAATCACCTGGAGGCCTTCGAGAGGCCTATAGCCCCAAGGCCCGCTCATGTTGCCAGAGCCTTGTGCAGTCTCATGTATTGAATGTGGGACGTTGACTTTGGGCTCTTTGGCTGCACGAGCGGCCTCATGAGGTACTGAGTCTTCAGATACAAGCGAAACAGGGGTAGCAGGACTGACGGTCTGTCTTCTCGTCTTTCGCCCGCTTTGACTTGTGGTGCGACCCGTCCGACTACGTGTCTCAAGGCCCTCACGCATGTGTGCTCCGTTGCTAAAGCGCTTTCGTTTACGCTGCGATGGCTCTTGCTCTCTAGGCTTCAAAGCCTTGACCTTTTCCGCAAGGTCTCTCAGCTCGGCGATGAGGTGACGAGGGGCAAGGTGACCGAACAGAGTCTCGTCGGATTGAGAATCCTCATAGGAGCATTCGATTAAAACTCCGGTAAGAACGCCGGCGTTGATCTTTGAAGCAGCATCACTCCACACTTGACTGTTCCTTGGCGATAGAGACAGCGAGTCAGGCTCCACATCGCCAAAAATTAGAACTTCGTAGCCGGTATGATCGTCTCGTAGAAAAAAAGCGGAACTGTCGATTGGGCGCATCATATCCGGAGGGTGACCGTGACTCTGGCTATGTTGCAGATTAGTTGGCGTCGCGGCGTGCTGTGAAGGTCTTCGGGACATGGCTTCGTTGAAAGCCTCGTGCGTACTACCGCTGCCACTACCATGACTGCGGTGCTTGCGCATGCATTGGCCGTGACTCACACTCCAGCATTTCGCCGCTAATCCGTCGCACACCTCTATGTAGCCCCTGCTTTCCCCATCACCAAACTGTATATTACCCCCTTCAACTAGGCGCATATAGCTCACAAATCCAACTCCGCCATCTTCGTCCGACATATTAGGCCAAATGACATCATTGAATATGTGGGTTTTGATTGCATCAATTGTCGAGGGTAGAGCTGCTATGCGCTTAGGGCGAGACGTGTGCTGAAACGACGCCGTATTGATTGCAAAGCCTGATATGTGGTCGAGATGAGGATGTGTAATGAGATAGGTAGAGATCAGGTTCCGCATGAAGTAGGCTGCGTTGCCTTTAACCGACTCGAAGGGGACTTCCAAGTCGGCAAACGGACCAGTAGTGAGTAATCGCGGTGATGGATTGATGGCACCTGTATGCTGCAATGGCGTGGCTTGTCCATGTCCGTTGTGCTCAGCAAGGGAGTTTGACCGTCGCGTGATACTCACACCGGCGTGAAGAGAACTGGCTCTTCTGACTGCGCGGTTGCTGGCGATCGAGACGGATGACTCGAAGGAGGAAGCAACTGGGATGGATTCTGGCAGACTTTCCTGGAAGATTCTAATAATCGCGGCAAGATGAGTGCCAGCATCAACCGCGAGAACGGAACCTTTGGCCCAATTTGTGGCAGTGGACCTGACCAAGATACCAGTTACGTTGTCTTCGTTCGGGCCACCTCCAGCACCCTAGACAGAGAATTTGTCAGCACCTATGAAACGGAACGCAGACAAGAAGCAAACATATTGGATGAAGGATAACTAAGCCATATGTAGGGGTACTAATGGGAGATTGCAGGAAGAGTACCGAGACATTTGTCAGTTTGGAGAATTGATAGTTGAATGCTTGTACATTCTTACCAAGACTATGATTTGAAATGCTGGTGGCTTAGATTCTCCATCAGCCCCAGCATTTGCCGAGTCAACACCATTCACTCGCATCGACCCTTTACTAAACCGCTTTGGAGCCTCGTATCTGACCCAACAAGCAGATTGCCCTTCCTTCGTAACAACGTCCACCAACCGGCGAACCGAGCTTCGAAAGACCAACGTCGAGATTGTCAGAGGTAGCAAACAGCTTCCTGGCGGTCGTCGGCTTGTCCGAGTGCCGTCATGCAAGTTTCCGGTAAGTTGATGGGGGAAGTGTGGGACTCTGCGCGGCCCGGTCTCTCAGTATCTGTCGGCTTTCCCTTTCGCACTACCCGGTGCCGGATGACACACATGCGAGCACGGTGGCCAAGCAGTTGTACGAGGTCAATTCGTAGGTGGCATAGGATTCGATGGCTATGCTATTGTAAGCACAAACGGTCGTCGAGGACTGAGAATAGTGGGAGAAATAAATACCAAGGGAGGTAGGACGGGAAGAGGCCCAGAGGGCGCTAGTGAAGCTGCAGAGAAGCCGCCGAGGGGACGGTACGACGGTACGAGTAGTGCTTTTCACATGGAGGGCTGTTGGAGGGCTGTTAGTCTCCCACTCTCACCTCACACTTGTGTTCATATGTACACACCACGAACACACTTATCCATTCTCTACTTTGCCCCATCCTTGTGTCTTCAAACGTAACATTAATGTACAAAGCCCTAGCCTAAGCCCAAACCATCTTCTTCAGAGAATGGCCCCACTGTTCCAACAATCCGGTATTCTTCCTTGCTTCCTGCAAAGATACGATGTCTTTGTCCTCGACGAAGCCCGACACGTTACTGCCAAGTGCCGCCCTCTGCACCTCATCACATACAATATTCACGATTTCTTTCTCACTCATCCTGCTTTTATCCTGGCCCTCGACACTAGCCAAACTTGAGCGCGCAGGGAGAGCCTTGAATGCCAAGATCTTCATGCTAGATACCTCCTCTTTATCAATGCCTTGACCGGAAACACCCTCAACATCGGCGTCTCTGGCACCGTCCAACTCTACAGCGCTGCTTAATGACCTGGTATTTACTCGCGCAATGTCCTCCTTGCCCGGTCTGTACTTTATCACCAGGCCAACGTTCCTAGATTCGTCGACCTGTGCCGCCGTTAATGTCGATGTTATGTATGTTCCGCGAATTATTCCCGTAATGCTTCGAAGATCGATCCTTTCGAAAGAGGATACCTTCTCGATGTTAAAGTCAAAGCTGACCCGGTATAAAGCTATGTCTGTGACGAGGAGTACGGTTTCTTGAAAAGGGAACGTCTTCACTGTGTTTTGCTCGCGTGGGCTCAACAAGGTCCAGCCCCCAACAATGTCTTCGCTTTGGTCTGCTATAACAATCTTGGAACTTGTTTCAATCGCATTTGCCCTCACTTTCTGCATCGAAAATCCAGGGTCCCTACTCATCATGTCTGTCTCGAATTCCTCAAAGACCTGTGCATTCACGTTACCAAGTAAGTAGTCTATTGCAGCCTGCGAAAAGTAATCTGATATAATGTTGTTGAAATATCTTGAAAGTGTGAGTCCAAGATCATTGATCGCGCCACGGTAGTTACGCTGTCTGGTACGAGTATAATCTCCCTTGAGGGCTGCTGAGCTCGCATATTGGCGGGAAATCGAATCACCGTTGTCAGCCCATAAGGTATTGAACCACTGAGTGGTCGCATCTGTGCGAAGGTCGACTAGAACACCCTCTTCCTGCAGCTGCTTTTCCAAAGCTCTTTGACCGCAGGCGCTCTGAACGACGTTCGTCCTATCAAGGCAGTCCATGCAGTTCGTACGAAGTATACCAGATTGTCTTTGACGGACAATGCCTCCAACATCGACAGTCTCCCCAAATGCATCGAGTCTCTCGCCAAGGGAGTCCATGAGAAGACTGACATTTTCAAATTTCATGCCGCGGCACATGCGGTGGAAATCGAACCATTCGAAGCCTAGTTGCCGCCCAGCAACGCCGTTCTCTGCATTGATCTCTCGGGTATATTCCTCGTATTTACGACCGATTTCTGCTTCACCGCCATGCTTGTCCACCAGAAGCACGATCTGTGCATCTTCATATCTACCAATAATGCTGGAGAAGTGCCGCCTGAATGCTTTGTGGTTTGTCTCCGATGAATGCTGCAAGACTGGTACAGGCTTGAAAGAATAGGGGGACTGTGAAAAGAACAAAGGGATGGAGCCACGAATCTGTGTGAACGAGTAAACCTTTTCGGAGGGCTCCCACGATACCTTGGATAGTATTTGCTCCGTTTCCACACTGTTCGCTGTGTCGCCGTCATCATCAACACCTCTACGGAGATATCGAAGGCCAGGACGTTTTGTACTGCGACGTGAGATGAGCGTTATCAAGAAGTTTGAATCTTGTCGAACAGACTCTTCTTTCCTTTGGGCTTCAATGAAACTATTGGTGTCTTCTTCTGTGGGGACTATAGCTTCTGAAAGCTTGTCGGGCTGCCTGTTAACGGTAAAAGCCCGCTGACCAACGAAGCCTTGCATCAAAGGCAATACAAACATACTAGAATTTCTAGAGTCAGCAGGATTTCTAGTAGTTCTAATTTGACTTTTTAAGCAATCCCAGGTGATGAACAGGAAGTGATGCGAGTTTTTGATCTATGATATACTTTGCGGCTCAATTCTGGTACTAACTCGGATGAAGCACACGAAAGCCTGCTTACTGATGTCCGCCATCGATGAACGGTAGTGCTAGATGTTGGTTCCAAAAGTACTAGAACAGGTCATTTGTCTGAGAACGTTTCTTATACAGATAAAGTTGAATCATTGACTGACCTCTGGATCAACAGACTTGTGTAATGGTATCTCGGAGCCTTTACTATCATTCGTTCCCAGTCTCCGGGTGATATCTAGCTCATAAGAAAAGAAGAAGCTTCGAGATCCTAATAGCATTCGCGTCGTTCGTAGAAGCTTGGGGAGCAGGGTATTGGTCACATTTGTGGGTAGGCTACCCAACATATCACTCTCGCCTGCCTGATTCGGTACTTCGAGATCGGATGTCCGGTCAGAGCTCTTCGCACCGTCAAGCGTTGTCGCTGACGACGGGTTTTTGTATTGCGGGAGGTGCAAACCTGTCCCCTGACTGCTCGATATTACCGGCTTCTCAACGCCGTCAACAGACATCCCTTGTGCCCTTCGCTTCTCAGTGGTCCAGCCTTTCCTTGAAAACCATCTCTCTGCGAAACGCCCATATTGACCTTTTTTCCCAATTACGTCTTCGGCAACGCTGCTGGCGTTCCGTGCCGGACCGAATGGTCGTATTGCCGAAGGGTCCTCTTTGATTGACGAACCTGCGCATGCTGGCGATACTTGGTCATCGTGTTCAGGTTGGCCAGCCTCGACGTGAGCTTCATTGTCATCCGAAATGTCGCTATCTGGGGATGGGGCTCCATGTTGGCCGGACTTCTTCAGGCTTTCCTTTGCCTGGTTGATGGCTCTTTTTGCCTCAAATTGCGAAGATAGAGGTATCAAAGCGACATCTGTAATAACGTAGATGGGGGAACCTCGTACTTGCGCTACTTGTTCGCGACTTAAAATGGTAACTAGGTAAGAGAGCGGAGCAACCGTGAGCAGTCCTACAAGCGCAACAACGTTAGTGAAGCTCTCTCTTACTCGCATTTGAATTGACTACCAACAATGCCATGGAATTCGGTGGACGACGAAGGGTCTGCGAGTGCAGAGTATGGGAGAGTTCGTGCTTGGTGTAAAGAGAGTTCGTGCGTGGTATATTTGATCTGCAGGCTTCGCTGGTTACGTGAACCCGGTGGGTGTAGTATCAAGCCTTCGACCGCAGCAACAACCACCAGTTTTCTTGCGAGACCAGGCATAGCTACTTCGTGGTTGTAGCAGTGCGGTATGATAATCTGCGAATAGGTTGGTCGGAGGAGTTGCTATTGCTCTGGAAGCCTGTCAACGAACCTCGGACCCCTCGGATGTCATGCCTATGTACGGATGTAGACCGAGGTTTCCCCATCTGGTCTTTCAGCCCTACACAATCTAAGCGAGCTAGCGTACCCTTGGAGGAGACTATGTACATGTAGTCAGATACGAGTATGTACCTTGGGCGTTGCAAGATTCATTGTTCGACCCAGGAATATTTACACAGATACTCTGATGCGCCAACATACCACCTTGGGTATCCATGCCAGACATATACAAACATACACACGCTCCAAAAATTGGCTCTGGTGCAAGATCAAGACGCCAACCAATGCATAGCCATTGTTCCCGCTCGTCAAATTCTGACGAATGTCGGACCCATGCTGGCTTTCAGGGGCATGATGGAGGAACAATCTTTCATGTAAACCAAAACTATGGAAGATGCCTGTTTTATCGATCATCTCCTTTAAGTCGATGGGTACCGTTGTATCGTCCATTCATGCTGTTCACACTTGAACGGCTCAGTCCTTGGTCTTCATCGCTGTCCTCCGCGAGTTCCTCTAGGCCGAGTCCGACGTTGTTCTCTTCGAATGAGTGCATCAATACTCCTCTTTCCCCTCTCGAGCCAAAGCCGGCACTACCAGTGCTAGCTCGACTAGCATCTATGCTTCGACGTAACTGCATGCTTCTCCGAGTCTGCAGGCCTGTTATCCCGTCCGTGGGAACTCCACCCGAGATATGGCCATTAAGAAGTTTTTGACCGTCGGGATCGCCACGTGATAGGTTTAACAGGTAGACTCCCGTGAATATCACCAAGAATCCGCTCAAAAGAGATAGAGTATTCACCGCATCAGTTGTATTGAAACCCCGGAAGAGGATGAAAGACGCAACCAATGTGAAAGTCGTAAAGGTAACATAGTATAGCGGATTGACTCTTTGAACCCATTAGCGAATTTCGCTCGAATACTCTGGTCAGAACGTACATAGAAGTTGAGAACTGACTAAGAGCTTTGTTAAAGTAGTTCATCTGGGTCAATATGCAACATACAGTGACGATGGCAAAAGCGTAAGTCGATGGGTGGGTAAGTTGGTTGTTCCCGTTCAAAGTCAACTTCAAGGCGATACCGAAAGCCTTGACTGACATGACGGATACAGATCCAACCGTGGAACAGATTGAGATAAATATCAGGGGGTTTTTCTTTCCATGCTTTGGAGCGACCTTATAGATCATAACGCTGGAGAAGATGGCAACCGCAGCACAGTAGAGAAGAAAACCTGCAATAACGAGGACCGTTAGCCCCTTGAAACGCACGCAGGAAAAGAAGGCCGTACCTGGATGTATGGCATACTGCAATATCTCATCCACAGTTTGAATCTCCTTATCCGGGGGTGCATGCAGCACTATTATGACAGACCCAATGAGACATAAGGCACATCCAAGTTTCCCCAGCGTACCCAAATCTTCTTTGAGAAAGTATGACCCCAGTACGGCACCGATCAAAACACTGAGCGCTCCCAACGGCGTTACCAGTATGGCCGGCGCAAAAGCATATGCTGCGAAATTGGCCACTTCACCGAGTACCATGGTCACGATGCCGCCCCACCACGTAGGACTTTTCAAATATGCAAAGCCTTCACCTTCAAATCCATGCCGCTCGCTTGCCTCCAGTAACCCTTTTTTAGTTATGACAAAGCTTGTCCCAATGGCCATCGTCGACAGTATGGCCAAAGCCAAGCCGACATATTTGTCCTCCACCATCTTGGCCTGGCAAGGAATTGGCCTACTCCAACGGCTCGAATTGAGTCGTTGCCAGCTTTTCTTGATCGCTTTTAATGGCCACGCAGCGCCAGCGCGGCAGATCGTCTGATGTCCTCGATCAAGCCTCCCGTCGACACTGTATAGGACTCATATAATAATGAACTCGAGAGTTTGGCGGGTTTTTCAATTTGATGGTGCCTAGAGTCGAGGTACGGTACCTGAGAGCTTGGCAAGGAGGTTCGCAACAAGGAGGGTAACAGCGACCGGGAGGTCTTTCGTTGATTCGGCTGATTGGCTAAAATGAATGCAGGTGTACCATATCTCGAAATATGAATGAGGGCAGATGAACTGTGTCTCAGGACGGATCAATGAACAATGGGGAGCAAAGGGTGTTCATTACTGGAAACAAAAGGACTCTTTACCCAGAGTACAGTCCTACTCGTACTTTTCTCTACTTTATTTTAGGTGTCCACAATGCGGAAACTAAATCTTGACCTGCCCGGCCCGTTAATTAGCGGTATCAAAGATTCTAGGTATTTTAACTCTGGGAATCGGACGAGCGCCGAGTAAATACCAGAGGTGCAGCACAGCGACAACTTGCAATTGCTGAATGACTCTACGTATATCGTCTGTCCATATCCTTCACAGCTAGTCTCGTTGCAACTTATCAAGGGAACAATGTCGCTCAAGCACTAAAAGAGTCAAAGGCTAAGGAAGGTAGGGAAGAAGAGCTGTTGCGTCCCTGGGCATTTACTAAACTTGCTGCTGAAGAGAACAGGTCATTGCCCAAACACTCCTGGGGAAGAGAATCTCAGTCCGAGAAAACCTGTGCTGGACTGATACCTGTCACATATTGACACTCTTACTGCAGCATTGCCAATCTGCCACTTTACCCCCTGACAATGTGCCAATAAGTAAACGAGTCATTTGAGGTGAAGTGGCCTGGATTGTTGAAGTTCTGCAGTCAAAGCTTTCATAGAATTCTCCTTGGTGCCACAGGCCACCTAAATCTAGCCAAGAAACGCATTGGCGGCATCGCCTTACTAACAACGAATTCAGCCACCTTATGCGCAGACTCCAACCATGCATTATCGCCACAGTAAGGAGACGCCGACGCCGAGGAACTCGATGGAATCTCCAGGAGAGCAGGGGAAAAGAAATGTCAGCTAGCCTTGCAATTCGCAGGCACTCGAATGCCTTGCAATCCATGCGAAATATCCGGGGGTATCGCGTGTAAAAGGGAAAGGGGGGAAGACATAGTGAACAGAGAAGCGGTGAAATGGCGGGTCTGTGAATGCCATGAACTTACCGCACCGACCTACCTTTCCTCTTGAGGAACAAAGAGGCCATAAGAAACCTAGTAGGTGTAGGCAGGTTGAGCAAGCAAGAGTGTGGTTTGTGGTCATGCACCTCCTCGACGACCAAAAGACCAGATGGCGGTACCGAAGCGCTAGGAAGGCTGTGGTTAATTTGCTGATTGTGTTGTCGATGTGAGGACGATGGGTGGAAAAGGTCTTAATGGACCAGTACTCGAAGGGTCAGATAAAAAGTCATTGCGCATCAGAAGATGAGAGCCATGACGGATTCATGGCGTTCCAAGTTTATCCAGACCGGACGCGTTTAGTACCTGTAAGAGCCGTTAGCCTATCTTGAACTTTGATACCGAAGTTCCAAAGGATGATCCCTACCTTGAAGATCCTCTTCTAACGCGTCGTCGTCTTCGTGGAGACTTCGAGCACGCTTGAGAGATCCAGGACTGATTGCGACGTTATGCTCTGCCTTCGCTGGCTCAAGGGAAAAGTCGGTATCGTATTCCTCGTCCTCGTAGGTAATCTCATCATCATCTTCTTGTGTTTGTGCAGACTCGTCGACGAAAAAAGATGGTCGTATATTCACTCCCTCCGGCGGCTGAGGGATGTCGTCATTGTCGTCATTAGCTAATGACCTATCGGTTTCTTCGAGCTCATCCTCCGCTTCCAAATTGTTTACTTCCCTCAGGTCATCATCGCGGAAACTCCTCCCAGATCCAATAAACTCAGATTGGATTGGATGCGTCGAAGAGTCATGTTCAATTTCACCGTTGAAATTTGTGTCAGCTACTAGATACAAGTCACCTTCGATCTTATCTGCGTGCTCATCCATTGTGTGGTGCCGGTAAGATCTTGCGTCGTCCTCATACTGCACGGAAGCTTTATGTTGATCATCATCTTCGTTGACACTAGGCCGTAACTCTGTTTCTTGGGAGATGCTAGCATCTTCATTTTCTGGTGCTTCCTCTTCTTCATTGAATTGCCCGGAGAGACTCTGGCCCTGGTCGTCAGAACCTTGGGATAGATTTTCCGCAAGATTGAATTGTTCTTCTTCGGTAGGTACGCCAACGTCACTGGTATCCTTCTGGTCCACAGATTTGTGTGGAATCTCTTCGTCTGCAACGAAATTTTCCTGGACATCATGGGGATATCGGTGCTCCTGATTGTCTGCAATGACTGGCTCGTTGGGGACGGTGCGATCCTGGACTGCACTAACGTCAATAGCATCACCTTGTAAAGTAGACGACGCGCTTGAGGTGCCACGCTCTAGCTCTTCGACGTCTTCATAATCAATGAAATCCCCATCTTCCACGATAGATTCTTCCGCTTTCTGAAGTTCTGATTCACCGGCCAAAGGCTGTGCAAATTCAAGAGATTCCTTGGACCCTGCGGCCTCGCTTGAAAATCCAACACTAATTCCTGCTTTGTGGGGGTTGTTGTCACTGCCAAGCTGAGGCTCTGTACGATCGATTTCTTCGTGCGCAACGTGCGTGACGGGGTATGACTGCGTCCCTTGGGCAGCAGAATCAGTCCCTAGCAGAGGGTTCTCTGAAGGCAGCGGGTTGCTATGCAAATCACATTGATATATGCTCTCCTCCGCATCTTCTCTTAGTCGTTGCTCGGATGAATAAGTCTCGTTCCTCGATAGCACGGCAGTATGGCTCGACGAGTCTGTTTCTCGTTCAGTCCTGTGGTCCCCATCATTCTCAGTCTCTTGGGACGACTTCAGCTGGGAGAACCCTTTCCCTTCAATTGCGGCATTCTGTAGGAGGTCAAGACGGCGGGAAAATCTATTCCTAGAGGTAAGGTCCATGTAGAGGGGTGGGGGGTCTTCTAGTCCATCGTTCTGTTGCAAATGAACATAGAGTTCAATGACTTCCGAGAGCCTTGTACTCGTGGATTCTATTGTAGACTGTTTGCATGAGCAACGAAGATACCCTTTGAGAGATATCCTTGACTCACTTCGCTAATATGAAGGTCCAAGCCATCAATGTTGATTGTCAATTCGTCGAGCTCGCTCAAACTTCCTTTAAGAATGCCCCTACAGGCCTCGAGAAGATCCCCAATAGGGCTGTAAGCAAGCCGTTCGTCTGTTAATAAGAATGTGGCAGCGTGTTCTCCATTTTGGTCTACGGGAGGAAATAAGAACATTTCGTTCCCTTGGTAGTCCAACATGACAGGATGCAGGTGAACAGGACTGTTCAGAGGGTCTTCCTCTTGGGTGTGAGATCCTTCGACGTTCAACTGAACCACAATTTTTTGATCTAATGAGGCCGGCAGAAATTCTTCTCCTACCTGCTCAAGCTTGGCTTCTGGGGCCAATGTGGGCCCCTCAACATCAGAGGGTTCCGAAGTTTCTTCTGCCGCCCCGTGTTTGACTGTGGCTTCTTTGCTGACCTCGACATCGTACCTATCGGATGTCTCTCTCGTTGCTACCTCGGCAACAGCGTGACCAGGATTCGGCAGTCCCGTTTGGCCATTTGGAAGGGCCCTCTCGATGTCACCAGATTTTAATTCGGACGTGGACGGGTGTTCGTGATGCCCTCGTTCGTTATACTCTTGTTCTTGGTAATCTTGCTCGTGGTCCTGGTTCCCAACGATGTCCTCATAATTGGCAAATGGTTCCTCAGATTGCTCATTCGGATGATCTATGTCTGGCTCAACGACCGTGTCCTCATCCAGGTCAGGCCCAGTGTATTCCGCATCCTCGATATCTTCGTCGCGTACAGATGACCCTTCGTTAACCTGCCCCTGCGCGTAGCTAACATCACCCATCTCGTCGTCATTGGCGGCATGAGTTTCCTGTCCATCCACAGATGTTGAATAAGCAAGAGTGTTCATATTCTCTTCGTCCATGAATTCATCTTCGACATCCTGGGGGTTGTCGCCAGTGAGGTCAAGATCAATGTCAATATCGTCACCGGCTCCAGCGCGCTGATCTATATCTGATGTGAGCTCCATTGGGTCTTCGGCATTTGGCGCTTGGAAGCGTGGGGCAAATTGCAGTTGCAGAGTTGTCATGATTGAGGGATGCCAGGAGACGTGTTTCTGTTCATTTTATTTGGGCTTCAAGTAGGAAGAAGTGTTGGAAGCGTGGGAAATCTGTGTCGGTTTTTGTGCTCTATCACAAGCTGTGAGAACAGTTTTGAATAACTGGATGCTGCCGTAGTGTTGTCGTCTGGAAAGGATTGGTACAGCGGGGGTAGCGGTGTAGGCCGACCGTGAACGTTTGGTTTGGACTTCGGAGAGGCGAAGAAAGAGGTGGTGGAGCTAGAAATACGGAGATTGCTTTAGCGCGTCCTGCTCCTATCAATCGCAATGTTAGCTTTCCTAGACCACAGAAAGTAAGTACAGTGAAACCTACCACGTCTCAACAATTCGCTACAGCCTGAAGGCAAGCTGCGATCCTGATAGTGCTCTCTCCAGTTAGGAAAACGCTGAAGGCTATGTATTGTTTCTCTTGATATTGAATCTATATCCATTGGATCTGTGCGAAGATGGTGAGATCATTGTCCACACCTTTCTGGTTCCGAGTGCTAAATAATCTTAGGTGGTGCTTGCTGCTTCCATTTGTACGCGGGGAGGTAAAGCGGTATTGTCACGCCAATTCCGTGAAGTAGCACGCTCAAGGATTGAGGGGCTTCTGGCATCCTTCCCAAAGCTCGCCGACTCTGGCACGCAGCATACTACCGTGGAGCAAGACAACGTTCGCTATGTCTATCAGCCACTCGACGAACTTTACATGGTTCTCATCACCAATCGGCAATCCAACATCTTGCAGGACATCGACTCTTTGCACCTTTTCGCCCAGGTTGTGACGAGCATCTGCAAAAGCTTGGACGAGAGGGAGATCCTTCGAAATGCCTACGAGTTGCTTAGCGCCTTCGATGAGCTTGTCACTTTGGGCTACCGGGAGAACCTGTCCTTGAGCCAGATCAAGACCTTTCTTGAAATGGAAAGCCATGAAGAGAGGATACAAGAGATAATATCGAGGGTATGTCTTAGTTCTGTCGATACTTTTAGATGATATTGGCTGACCAAGCCTCAGAACAAGGAGCTCGAAGCTACGGAAGAGCGCAAGAGGAAAGCCAAACAGCTCGAGCTTCAACGAAAGGAGATGTCACGCAGTGGACGCTCCGCTACTCCTCGAGCACCGTCTTATCCAACCTACACTCCTCCTCCTCGACCCGCCGGTCTGAGCACTTACGACAGCTACGAGGCTGAAAGGAACAAATCTTTCAAGTTAGTCTACCTAAGTGAACAACATACAACTCAACTGACGATGTTGCAGAGCGTCTGCTCCCAAAGGCAAGGGCATGCAGTTGGGTAAGAAATCAAAGACCATAGACATGTTCGAGCGAGTGAGAGGAGATCTCGGTACACAGGCTGAAGAGTCGGCACCCCTGGTGTCGAACTCACAGCCCATCACAGCAGCAGAAAGGGCACCCTCGACACGTGTCTCTTCATCAATCGATCGCGATGCCATCCATGCAACTGTTGACGAGAAAATATCTGCCAAGTTATCAAGAGATGGAATCCTCAAGTCTTTTAGCGTCAAAGGAGACCTGCAATTACGCATTTCTGATCCGGCTCTAACAAAGGTCAAGCTCGATCTGGTTGCCAATGCTAGCCAAGGGGCGCAATTCAAAACCCATCCTAATGTAGACAGGGGACAATTCAATACCTCGAAGGTGATTCAACTTAAAGATACCTCAAAGGGATTTCCCGCGAACAACTCAGTTGGTGTCTTGCGATGGAGCGCGACAGCTCCAGCTGATACTAGCGGTGTCCTTCCGATTACCTTTACCGTATGGGTGAACAAGGGCTCAGACGAGTCCTTTACAATCACCGTTGAATACGAAATGACTGGATCCGACAGCCTGCATGATGTGGTCGTGACCATTCCGTACAGCACCAGTGAGCCAGCTATATCGAGCTTCGATGCTGTGTATGAAGTCTCAGGGGATAGTTTGGAATGGACGATCGGTACAGTGGACGAGTCCAATGCAACGGGAGCCTTTGAATTCGAGGCCCAAGCAGAAGATGAGGCCGAGTTCTTCCCAATGAGCGTGCGCTTTTCAAAGAGCAAACCATTCGTGGACGTTGACGTAGGTCCTACCCCATTGCAGTCAATGCACAAGACTAAAACGTAGAAAACAGGTCACGTCGGTAACATTATTAGAGATGGAGCAAGACATGTCCTTTACCAAAGACGTCAAATCCGTTGCAGATTCCTATTTGATAGAATAAAGCATTATGACAGTTAAAAGGCGTCTATAATCATGGCTATTGCCAGCGAGGTCTGATGTTGCCTGAAGATTTGGCCTCGCACTGGCTGGATGGCACTCCCTGCTACCAAAGGTATATTCATGGGGCAAAAGTGCCTTGCAGTACGAGTACCACACATATGTAGAATGCATAAGAAGTTTGTTCCAGCGCAATTCTGTAGCTGAAACCATCCAACACGACTCAAGCGGATATGGTGACCCTCACAGCGCGCGGCGAACAGACGCTGATGGCCATCAACATTTTGTTGCAACAGTGCCAAGAAACTGGCCCCCTAGCACCTATAAAGTAGAGTAGTATGGCAGCCCTACCACGTTGTTGACCTAGCCAAGTCTCGATGAATGAGGTATGAAGAGAAAAGAGCGGGCACATTCTGCTGTCATTCTAGCAGCATGGCTGATCCACTGGCGGAGAAGCTGGTGCAGCCTGCAGTCAATCCCAGACATCTGGCATACTGCCCATCTATGGACTTGATTGCATTGGCGTCGATTGACGAGCATATTTGTGTCTACAGATTGAATGGGCAACAGGTCTTCGGCATTGCAAACAAACAATCTGGTAACGGAATAAAGCAAATCAAGTGGAAACCTAATGGTTAGTCAAACATTTCCCTTCCCTGTGCTCCCTTTTACGCAACCTTTGAGTACTGAGTCTCCTCGAGGTCAATCACTTGCTACTGCATACGACAATAATTTCCTTATTCTGACAAACGCCCATACCGGAAAAACGGTTCACCAGATAGACTGCTCTGCGTACTCGAAGTCCCAGATATGCTGCCTAGGATGGGGCATCAATTTTACTGACGGTAACAAAGTTGGCTGGGAGCTCGATAAATTCAAAGATGAAGTGACCTTGGATGATATGATAAGTCAGAATCCTCGAGTGAAGTCCATGGATAGTGTGCCAGATCTACCTCTGGACCTAGCTTTGCTTGATGTAGAGGCATCCTTGCCTAAGCTGAGTCCTTTGTCTCCTGGAGGAATTGAGTAGGTGCCAGAGATGGAGGGAATAACAGCTACAAAGGCTGAAAAGACGTAGGGATGACATCTTCAGTTCTCGAGCATCGTTAGACACTTTGTTTCAGCCGCTGACAATTGGCTCGACTGATTCTGCAGACATCCTTCTTGTCGGGTTTGAAGATGGTACTGTCCACCTCAGTATCTATGACTCCTTTGAGATCGGTAGTTTCAACCTGCAGCAGGCGTCTCGTGGATTCCGGAACTGCAGACCGATTTTGCACTGCTCTCACCCCTATTCTACGACTCATTCCATGCTCGTTTCAGCTCCCATCGAAGACCAAGAAGAACTGCACATCGTGCCACTTGATCTCCGCTTGCTATCGAATGCTGGAAGATATTTGTCCTTGTTGGCATCAAAATCTACACAGCTCCACAACGTCCTACGCTACATTCATCAAGTCCAACGACAAATGTATCATGATTTCAAAACCTCTCGAGACTTGCCCAGCAAATACATCGCCAACATTGAGGAGAGTTTACAAGAGCAGGCAGATTACAACTGGATGCAAGCTGCGTATCATCTCGTCGTCACTGGGGATTGCTATCCTGAAGTCAAAGAATGGTTAGTAGATCAGTTGGGAGAAAGGGTATGTATTCAATCTCACGATACTCTATATCTGCGAGTTGTCAACTCATGACCATCCCCTAGGGACACAAGCGATGGGAGAAGGCCACAACGACTGGTTACGAAAGTGTGCGGCGCCTGGCTCATGAGAATCTGCTGCCTGCACTAGAGAGGTTCACCGTTCTCGTGAGCCGGCTTCGTGGCTTGTCGAGGTTCCAACTCTCAAATGCCAATCTTGGGCTGTCAACACAAGAATTCGACGATGTTTTGGACACTATTAGTTGTCTCCAACTTATGGCACACCAGATCCTTATCACTTCTGGTTCGGAACTCCGTCAATTCCTTGCCTTTTCCGCTTGGCTGCGCCAGGAGATTGAAATCCAGGCCTCCGATGCAAGCGTGGCAGAGTTCGCAGAGAAAGATGTTAACCTTGATCACGCTAGTACGCTCGAGTATATCCAAGGCGCCATGACGCAAAGTCAACTTGCCAGCTTCTTCATCTTGGAAGCGCGTGCGGAGGAGAAACCCCCACGGGATCTGGCAGCGGAAGGAAGGTCCTTGTTCGAGCTATCCAAACGGGGGCTCCAGAACGCCAGCAGGGAAGACTCCTCTGCCAGCCAACTTCCCCCTCTTGATGCATTGATGAAAAAACTTGATACGCAATGCAATGTTATTTTCAAAAGGATTGCAGAAACGCAGAGAAGAAATGTGAGATTCGGTGCGCCCGTTTATCTTCAAAAGGGCGTCCCGTCCTGTATGGACATGAGGATGTTGCATGAGGTATTGATACGCCTACCTATGATGCCAGACGCTTTCGCTGATGCTTCGATGTGAAAGCTTGTTGGGGAGAAGAAAGAATTGGTCCTTTACGTAGTTCTAGGTCCTGTGACTCATCAAAGCGATGGTATGATCTTGTGAATACCACTATGTGGAAAATGCTAAGCCAAGACTAGTGCGTATCTATAGAATCGTGTTGGAAATCAAGAATGGGATGAGCTCTACAAAGAGCGTGGAAGGTGCTGTAATCAAGACGGCTAGTTGGGAGTTCAGAGATGTCAAATTCGTCGATGATGATGAATTGGTGTTGGCTGTCTCCGCAGAGTGTAAGCCTGCTGATGGTATTGTGCTTACCCGTCGCTTTAGCTAAGACTTCTCCAAGCTTCTTCTCAGCTTTTCAGAATCCCATACCGAGAATCAGCCAATGCCTCCGGTAAATTGGCGTATGCTACGATCAACGAAAGGAACGTCGAGCAACGCATGGATGGCAATACTGACCATTCCAGCATTGACCTTTCGAGACCAGACGTCGCCAGCGCATATATGTGGCAGGAATTTCCGGACGGAGTCTCTTGGACACCAGAAAGAATGGAGGTCAATGGTAGGAAGGGTAGACGGGTTATCTGTGTGCTTGCTCAAGACAGATTCCATTACAGAGTATATGACTTAGACGGCTCTTCGAGTGGTGGGGAAGTCCAAGATACTAGGACTGAAGGCAGTGATGAGGTCATGTCTTGAGAGAAGAAAACCCGCATCTCTCACAGCTTCAGAAAGATTGGATCAGGGTTTGGAAGATGCTTTGGTGGATTTTAGGTGATCGGATTAGGATCACTCTACAGTAGCATTCATGTGGGGGACAAGGAACACCCAACCACTTTCCGCTATGTGGAGGGTGCAGTGCTCAGCGTCTCACAATGCATAGAACCGCAATGACGGGCAATGTGTCGACGGCGGAGTGACTAGGGGCAAGCCACTGCGCCTTGGATCATAGTGTCCCAGCTTCAAGATCACTTCATAAGTTGACCCGTGGACTAATCAAAATAAATGGTAGACTTTTGGAGGGAAAAAAATTTGCATGGAATAATAATGCTGTAGTAATAGTAGCAGTTGCAGAATTTCGCCGTGAGCACCAAAAGTCTCAGATCTCGCTTCCTGTTCGACACTCAATATCAACACCCCACCATTTTACGTCGAAAACTCATACCCATACGCATTCAGGCGGGCTCGTCTTGAAAAGACTCTTAGCTATCAACTGTCTAAGATCTCATCCCTTCGACTCTTTGTAGTCATCTTCTCCCAGGCGGCGCACTCAGTCGTGTGACTTAACTTAGCCCTCCTGGACCATGGACGTCAGCCAGGTGCTTGAGAGCACTTTCTCACCAGGTGCGTGTACACGAATTCGCGCGTCTTGGGAAATAAAACGACGTTCTCGGAGCTAATCATTATTGTGTAGATGCATCAGCACGTCAGAATGCAGAACAGCAGCTGTCCCAAGCAGCTGAGCTCAATTTTGTGAGTCTTTCCGTACTGTTTGGCGTGACGCCGCAACCGTGTGCATCATAGATTGAGAGCTGACTATCATGTTAGTCAACATATCTGATTACACTTGCGCAGGAACTTGCAAATGAAAAAGCCCAACCGGGTGTTCGTCAAGCCGCCGGTATTGCCCTGAAGAACGCATTCTCAGCGCGAGAGTACACTCGTCTACGCGAGATTCAGTCACGATGGCTTCAGAGTGTCGATGTCAATACCAAGAGCTCTGTGAGGGACCTGGCCCTGCAAACACTCGCTTCGAAGGACACACGGGCAGGCCAGGCTGCAGCGCAGTTTATCTCATCAATAGCAGCAATCGATATTCCACGAAATCAGTGGCAAGAATTGATGCCCGCTCTGGTAGAGAACGTCGGCGAAGGCGCGGACCACCTCAAGCAGGCCTCTTTACAGACCATTGGTTACATTTGCGAAGCTGAGGACCAGGACCTGCGCGATAGCCTCGTACAACATTCCAACGCCATTCTTACCGCCGTCGTCCAAGGCGCGCGGAAGGAGGAGAGTAATAAGGACGTACGACTGGCGGCTATCAACTCGTTGTCAGACTCCTTAGAGTTCGTGCGGACCAACTTTGACAATGAAGGAGAGCGGAATTATATCATGCAGGTCATTTGTGAAGCTACTCAATCTGGAGATAACCGCATTGAAGCCAGTTCTTACGGCTGCTTAAATCGGATTATGGGTCTCTACTATGACAAAATGAAATTCTACATGGAAAAGGCACTCTTCGGACTGACTATTATGGGCATGAAGAACCAGGAGGAAGATGTGGCCAAGCTTGCGATCGAATTTTGGTGCACGGTCTGCGAGGAGGAGATTGCCATTGAGGACGACAATGCTATGGCTGCCGCTGAAGGGTCCGAGTTACGACCGTTTTTTAAATTCGCTCGGATAGCATTTCGCGAGGTTGTGCCTGTACTACTACACCTCCTAGCTCAACAAGATGAAGACGCCTCCGACGAGGATTACAATATTTCGAGAGCAGCGTACCAATGTCTGCAATTGTATGCTCAGACAGTCGGTGGAGAGCTCGTACAGACGGTGCTAAGTTTCGTGGAGGTGAACTTGCGGCATGCGGATTGGCATTTCCGTGATGCGGCTGTCTCAGCTTTCGGTGCAATCATGGAAGGTCCAGATGAGAAGATGCTCCAACCCTTGATCAAACAGGGTTTGCCTGTTCTAATTGGCATGATGGACGACCCTGTGGTCCAGGTCAAAGACTCAGCAGCGTTCGCGCTGGGTCGAATCTGTGAGAATGTTTCGGAATCTATTGATCCTCAGGAACATCTCCGACCACTTATTGGGGCTCTCTTCGGAGGTCTCTCGAGTAGTCCGAAGATGGCAGGCTCCTGTTGCTGGGCCTTAATGAACCTTGCGGAGAGATTTTCAGGAGATCCAGGCTGTCAAGAAAATCCTATGTCACCACACTTTCAAGAGAGTATACAGCGATTACTTACTGCGACAGAGGGGTAAGTCATGCGCCTCGAGCTTACGAATGTTACTGATAATTTGTAGTCCTGAGGCCGATAACCAATTGCGGATGGCTGCCTATGAAGTTCTGAATGCGTTCGTGACGAATGCTGCAAACGACAGCCTTCCCATCGTCGCCAAATTGTCGGAAGTGATTCTTGAGCGCTTGGAAAAGACGATACCCATGCAACAGCAGATTGTAAGTGTAGAGGATCGAATTACGCTTGAGGAAATCCAGACGAGCCTTACCAGTGTTCTACTTGTAAGTTACCTTCCATTCGCGCACAATTCTCAAGCACTAATTGTCGATGTCTCAAGGCCATTGTGCAAAGGCTGGAGGGGGAGATCAAGCCTGCAGCTGACCGCATCATGAACGTGCTTCTGCAAATTCTGAGTTCGGTCGGTAGCAAATCCAGCGTTCCAGATACCGTCTTCGCCGCTGTCGGGGCTTTGGCAAATGCGCTCGAAGAAGACTTTGCAAAATACATGAGTTCATTCAGCTCCTTCTTGTACAATGCTCTAGGTAACCGAGAGGAGCCTGGATTATGTGCCATGGCCATTGGACTCGTCAGCGACGTTACTCGAGCACTAGGACAGCTGTCTCAACCATACTGCGACACATTCATGAACTACCTACTTCAAAACCTCAGTGTAAGTGACTAGAAATGTCGCGAAAGATTACAGCATTGACCCGTGTGCAGGACAAATCCGTCAGTAATCAATTCAGACCGGCTATCCTCCAAACCTTTGGGGACATTGCTCAGGCTATAGGACCGCACTTTGAAACGTACCTGTCTGTGGTAGCTCAAGTATTACAGACAGCCGCCAGTGTTACGATGGGGGAGAGCGCCGCTTTCGAAATGTTCGATTATGTGATCTCATTGAGAGAAGGGATCATGGACGCGTGGTCGGGTGCTATCCTCGCGATGAAGACCAAACGTATGTATTTGAACACCTTTTGTGAGAACAGACTGACCAGCTTTAGCCCAAATCTTGATGCCGTATGTCGAGTCAGTATTCTCGATATTGAGTGTGATAGCTCAGGACCCCAACCGGAGTGAGGCTCTCGTACGCTCTGCCATGGGCGTCATTGGGTAAGTCATCAAGCGGGTGTCTTGCAATATCGCCGGACTAACGCCGGCACAGAGACTTAGCAGACACATTCCCCAATGGCGAATACGCCAACTACTACCGCGCCGAATGGATCACACAAATGATCAAGGAAACGAAGAGCAATCGCGAGTTCCAAGGGCGTACCATCGAGACTGCTCGCTGGGCTCGGGAACAAGTGAAGCGACAGACCGGGAACGCTCAAGCTGCTCATCTGTCTTAAAGATAAGTCAGCTACTTGCAGTATTGCCATCCGAACACGCTTGAGCTCGACCGGCTATCGTAGGAGTCTAGTCGGAGCCAAGCCGGAACCAAGCGCTGCGGGTCAAAGACTTCAGACTGGCCGAAGAATATCCACGCCGGGCTGTACTACTAGCTATCAGAGGTCACAATGCCCCACCGGCGTCCGACCAGGATGGCTCCACCAATGACAACCCCATTGCACTCCCAGCACAGCAAAGCACCATACGAGCACCATCACCCAGCTCCCACAAGCCACCACCTCCTCACCCAGATACCCCTCGCACGACCGCCACGTCATTTGTGTATATAGCACCGTCAAGCATCACCGAGTAACTACATCAGCACACTACTCTCAGTCTCCAGGTCAGACGTTGATGCTCTAGCATTCCCCAGACCTTGTGCGTGCTTTTCCAGTTGCGTTGTTATGTATGCCCAATCATGTATCCTACAGTCCTACTCCGAACCCAGACGTGCACCTTTGCGTTAGATGGTCGACAACGGCTTGTTTAGGATTTACACGCTGCAATCGACGGTGAAGAGATCGGAGATATTAGACTAGGCTAATCAAAGACTGAAACGCTCCCAAGCCTACTCCATGTCGTACTTTTCGTACATTGGTCGCAGCTTCTAAGTGGTGCGTCTCAGGAATCTTCTCACAGAGGTTTCTTGGAGACGAACCTTTCTAGACTGAGTTCCGAATACCTTAGGGACTGAATCTTGCCCTTGCAAGCGCAAGGCATCAAGCATAATGTAAAGTAGCTAGAAGTAGGCTTCTAGGAACGGCCGTTTCCGGCAGGAGTTCGGTCTCGTTACTTTCAATATGCATTGTTGCCAAGCCTCTGCAACTGCCACGTCTCACGCCTATGTTTGCAACATCGCATTATGCTAAGAGGGGTGGTGTGAAACTGTAAACTTCAATGCGGTGGTCGATAGTTTGCTTTGTCTTCAGGAACTAGTTTTACGATGTAGGATGCCGTGCTCTACCAGATATGATTCAGTCATCTGTAGGTTGCAATGCAATCTTGTCGGGTATCATCGCTCTTGTCAATGCCTTCTTACCTCACCATCAAGTCATCCTCATCAGAAAGAAGACATAAAGCTGCCTAGATTTCAAAGATCGAGCTGGATCTCACCACTCATACGTTGACCTATGCTTCAACCTGCTCATCATTCCCACCAACCTTCCTCTTCTCCTCAATGCGAGTCTTGGTTTTGGACTTGGCCTCCTCTACCCACTTATCATAAGCTCCGTCGCCTTCGCGTAGCTTCGATGCCGTGACCCCCTTCAAGACCTCCCCAATAAACCCGATAAAATTGTGTCGCCTCAGCGCGTTCTCCCACTGCCATGCATTCCGTTTCTGCTCCTCTTGATACAGCATGTCCTGGTCTCCAATCTCCTGCGCCCGTATTCGTAGATCGCGCACCATGGCCAGCAGATTGAACCTTATCTCATTAGCTGGGTATCTCTCGATCCTCCGCTGCAGGACAGGTATGACCTTGTCCGGGAATTCTTCGAACGAGCAGCTGCCGTGCGATATAGGCGCTGGCTGAAGTCCGTCCAGCTCGTAGAGTACTCCGTTGATTGGAGTATATGCAATGAAGTGGTAGACATCATCTTCTTCGCTGGCTAATCTTTGAGCTTCGTCGACGAAAGGCGATGATCGTGCGAAGGAATTGTGGACATCCCGTATCAGCTCGGAATTTGAGAGCGCTTCTCCTCGCAACTTAGGCCAGGTCAGCGTCCCCATTGGCTGTGCTGATTGGAAAACCACCTACTTCCGAAGGGAAGGCGCCTGTGAATTCTTTGAATTCCTTCAGTTGAGGACCGATCTCCACCTCATCCTCCTTGTTGAGCAACACCGAAAGCAGAGCCTGAGTGCCGCAAGCATTCTGTATTGTCTGCGCGGCGAAGAAGATATTCTCGGAAGCGTCAAAGTCGAAGTTGCCATCTGGTGGAGTATCGCTAGGCTTCTCTCCAGTAGGATATTTGAACAAGAAAATTACGCCGTACACTGGACTGTAGTTCCATGTGAGCGGCTTTCATTCAACGCAGCTTCATGTGCCCTACCTTTCTTGTCTCAAAAGGGCGGCATCAAGAGCTATAAGCTCCTCAAACTGGACATGCTTGACTCCGAGGTTGTCGATCAGGAATGTGAAGACGCCCTATGAAAATCAGCGTCTTGCAAGTCTGAGGAAGGACGAGTCGTTACGTACAGCATCAGATTCGATAGTGTTCCATCCTGCCGACATCCTTGTGTAGATAAGCGACGCAGTGTCGGTCAGTGGGGCGGAGCCACCAGAGCTACTGGCTCACGCGGGACTGTTCGTAACGTTGTTTGATCTACCACTACTAATCAATTGTGCTAGCAGTACCTAAGACTGTATAACCCTTACTTTAACCGTGTACCGACCTTAGCACAAGAATCAACATCTTTCATGTGGCAATACGCTTTGCTTCTGCTTTTCACCTCTACGGTAGACCCTCGATCTCTAGCTTTTTCCATGCACGCGTTTCAACACTAGCTCTATTTGGCACATTGAGATTCGCCGTTTAAAATTGAAATTTGGATAATAGCTATGAGGTAGAGCATGATTGACAAAACACATTCTTCCTAACGCCCCCTCTATGCTCCCGCCAAAATGCAGCCAGACCCTTTTCCAATGCTTCCTCCATATTTCCCCTCCATCTCAATAACCCGATGTTAATGCAAAGCTTCAGGTCAAAGGTATATCCCAGCTCCGATGGTTGTTAGATAGTAGCGCAATGCCCTTCTTTTACATGTAGTGTACAGATATTTAGACATTGAAGAAATTGAAGAGGCTTTCGTTGTGCTCAGTTCATTTGTGGCTGCTTGCCTTTGTGTGGAGACTCGTCATGTTGGAAATCGCTGTATCCAATAGTCAGCAACATCACATTTACGCATTTGAAATCACCCACCCTTCTGGAAAGCTTGGCGAGTGCCCTCCAAAAGCCCATGCTTCTTCGTCTGAATTGGCAATAAATCCGGGCGAGTATGACGAAGGCGAGTACGCCGGTGAGTCACCTCTAAGACTGTATTCGTATCCTGGAAGAGATCGATTGTCAAAAGAAAGGCTGTTTGGCCTTGGAGAGCTTTGCGAATACGGATTGGATCCCGGGCTGCCGTAGTGAAGGAAAGGAGACGGCGGGTGGCTGAGGTCGTCGAAGTTGTGGCTCGGCAGCATAGGCGGAGTGCTCGGATACCCAGGCGGAGGATAGTCAGGAGTACCCGGTTGCGATCCCATGCTCGAATGCTGGAAGCTGTATGGACTGTGCTGACTATGTGGTGGAGTACTGCTTTGAACGAATGCTTCTTCTCGCCGACTTTGTCCCAACCTCGACTGCGCCGCGATTTGGTGTCGAGCCAGCGTCAAGCGAGGAAGATGCATCAATTCGTCTAAGTCTGAAACACTCATTTCCGCACGAACAGTGATAGCTTGATTGTAGCGTAATTTTGTATCAATTTGCTCGATAGCATGAACGGTCAAGGAGCCAAGAGCCGCCCCACTAAGTTCGGGAATAGAAGAGTCAATGGCTAAGGCCAGCGTGTAGAGTTGTGCGAGAAGGACCATCGCCGAACTTCCCATGTCATTAGCTTTGACCAGAGTGACTGGCATCCAGAAGAGCCTCGCCCTGAGGGGCTGCAATTTCTCGAAGAGCTGACTGCTCTGCATGGAAGTGCTACATGACTGAAAGTCCTGCGCGAAATTCAGGATCTCGTGGAGCCGTTGTGCAAGAGGGTGGACGTTGGGCAGACGAGCCGACAATCGATGAAGCGAATTATTTGCCAGGAACAATGACTCGTCATCGAATGAGATTGAGGTACCCTGCATGGAATGCGGTGAGAAGAAGGCTGGGTGATCTTCAATGTACATTGAGAAACGTGAGATGTGCTTCCACGAACTCATGGAGTTAATGACCTGTAGTGATGTCAGACGGCTTCGGGTGGAAAAGAAGGGTAAAGTCCCACGGTGGATATGCCATGCATCAGCGAAGTCCAGCCCCCCCTTGAAAGTGCGTAAGCAATTGCAACCCATACGGAATTCACGCGGCTCACCAATCCGATACCTGCCAAGATAGCAAGATCGATGCTGCCAGAACAGCGTCTGAATTGTCCCTAGAAAAATTGCCAATGGCGCCTTGGAGTCCTTTGAGCGCCACCCCCCGATGGAAGTAGGCAAGATTCTTGGTTTCGACCGAGTTCGTCATCCAAGCAATGTGCGTGGCAGAGAGGGCCAAGATAGAGCTCATTACGAAATCATACCCGAAAGCCGCATCGAAGAAGCTAGACCGTGGGCGTGAGCCAATCGAGTGAAGGCGGGACTGTAATCGTTGGAGCTTACCTAGGAATTTGCTGCACCCACAACGTGCATTGCACGAAGTCTGCAAGCCTCATGTCTCTATAGATACTCGATAGATGATGAATCAGGCGCAAGTCAATCGGGGAAAGGCCACGGAAATGCTGAGAGGACTGCAAATCCATCTCAGGAAAAGGGAAAACGCCTGTCCGTTGCCATGTTTCGATCTCGCTCTCAATCCGTGGAGTCCAGAGAAGGTTCGGCTCTTCCAGAGTCCGAGGAGCTTCTTCCGAAGGAGGATGGTCCATGTAGTCACATCTGCAGTTATGCTTTGTGCAATTTTTGCTGTCTTTGCTATCAGCCTTCGATTTGGTTCAACATAGCGTGAACGAACGTACCATTGCGGAAAAGTCTCGTCGCACCGGATGTGCCTTCTTTTACAAGTTCTGCATCCTTTTCTCGATTTCGTATGACTCTTTCGAGTCGGACCGGTGCCGTGGGGAGCCATTCAGACCTAGCTCAAGTGCTCGGAGAGTTTTCGTGGGCTTCTTGACGTTGCTGTTTCCCGAGCGAATGATCCTGTGCCAAACCCACTCGTTTTCACGTTTTTCTTATCTACTTCGACGGATTGATGACGTGAACAAAGAGAAGGAGTGAAGCGAAGGTGCACAGCAAGGAAGCAGCGGTATCGGCGGGCACAGTTGGTTTTGTTGTTTTAGATCTGGTTACAATGAAAAGAAGACGGTGGAGAGCAGCGGTATGGCTCGGACTGTCATAACGAGAGCACAGATGGAAGATGATAAACGAATGTGGTAACTGGGGTTACTAAGGCTCCGATTATGTTTCAGGCTGATGCAGAGAAATCCATGTTTTATAGTCAAGGATGAGTATACAACTGCTAGGTACGAGTTGTTCAGCCAGCGGAAGAAGAATCAGTCATCAAAAATAGAAGCGCGGAGGTTCATTTTACCTATGGTGTAGCTTCGCCTTCACCAACTGGAGATACCCGGCAGTACTTAGCGAGTTAGGGTTGAGGGTAGCGAAAATGACATAGCTCCCTGCAAGTAATCGGGCGAAGTGAGATTGTGATGTGATAATGGTCGAGTAAGTAGTTAAAGGAGCAGGTGCAGTAAGGTACAGGGATGAAGAGACTACTAGTGATACACTGGGCCGTCAGGTCTGGTGTTTTATTGAAGGAGAGATGCAAGGCGTGGGATTGAATAGAAGCGGGTCGAAGGCGCGACAGAGGGAAAGTACGCATGGAACTCCTACTCCTGGCTTGGAAGCAGTAGTCGAGGAGCAACGATGTGACTGGTGGTCGTAGTCGCGGTCGTGGTCGTGCTGGTGATTCCCATGGATCCAGCCCGAGAGTCTTTCTTTAGGTAGTTCCTTCACCTCGCGATACGAGGCGGGCCGAGGTCAAGCGCAGGGCCGCATGCAACCCAAGGCTAGAAAGTAGAAAGGAGATCAAGAGGACACTGTTGATTTGATGAAAGGTAATAGAGAGAGGAGGTCAGGATGACATCAACGGAGGGGCTGTGTATGGAGGCAACGGTCAGGGGAAAAAAAGGCGAGATATGCAGTAAACGGAAAGTCAAGAGAGCCCTTACCTAAACAGGCGCACAATGTACATTTATAGTTTGGTGTGTGTTTATAAATAGATTGTTGTGCATACTACCGTACATACTTTAGCAATGAGTCTGGTTTGGCTGCCAAGCCTCTGCAAAGTATCAAGCAAACCAAACCACCATGATTTTATTTGAATACTCGTATTTCCAGCATTGCCATTGTTTACCAACAACTTCGTATTGGAAGTTTGCGAAAATTCAAATCTAAATATCGCATGTCTTGATCTTCTGAACACACGGGCACGGCCTCTATCTCTTCCTACTCTAATCCCGCCTTCCTCCTTGCCCCTTCCAGTAATTTCTTTCACCAACGTCGGAATTCTCTACCCGTGACACCTGCCGTCAGCTTTGTGATCAGGATTAACCTGCTGAGCTCAGCGGCCGTTCTGGCTTCTAAGTTCCACTCTCGAGCTGCAGCATGATTGCATCTCTGCTGGGATTCGTCGACTTGATGAGACGGAGAGCGCATCATTGGAATCGTTTGGGGTAATCCGGAGCCGTTGGCCTTCGGTGAGATTTAATGCAGTTCGGCTCCACCGATGTCTTTATTCACGATTCCGGAATCATAGGCCGACGTTGCATCTCGGGCCTGTCTCAGTTCTCTTCTGCGGAACTGGTCTTACCTTGACGGCTTCCATACATGCAAAAAAGCTTCAAGTAATCTTATGCAAGATATTTCTCGCAACATTAGATTATTGCAACCCTCCTATTTCCATCCATCTGCAAATAGTCATTGCAAAGCTTTCACGTAGCCTAGCGAGCTCTTCGAAGAGTAGATGTCCTGGTAGTATTATGCTCACACCACTCGCTTGGCGCCGTCGCCAACTGCACGCCCAGCCAATACTGATCCACAGTGATCATCAACAGGCCACGAGACTACAAAGCCGACCAATTTTCCTTTACTTGTCTCCATTCTTGTGAGAGATCTTACCGGATTAATAGATATAATACTGGTCAAGCATTGCGACTGCCAGAACGATCTATGCACAATGGCCAGGTCAAATTCGGTCACAAGCATCGCCAATCAACGCACTGTTTTCCGACGAATGTGAAGTCGGGTGTCGAATACGTTGCGCAGCAAATGCTTCACGAGTCTAAAGCAGTCCACCTGGATCTGTTGCAATCCATGCATTGCAGCCTCAACGCCACCATACCGGTTGCTTCAACCTGCTGAAAATGCTCAATACCGCTGACCCTTGTTTTGAACGACGCCTGGATCACCTACGCCCTTCAATGCAACGGGAGTATATGCACGTATCGTATGCGGAAACCCTACCACTACCTTTTTGCCTCTTCTCGATACTT